GAAATTTTTCTTTAGAATCTGGATTCTGTGTCTCACCAGAACAGAAGGTGGAAGTTTGATATTGAGACTTTCTTGCAACAGCAGTATCTAGTTAATTGTGTGCATTAGCTTTGAATTTTTTTTTCTTCTTTTAGAAAGAGGAAATATTTTCAATGTGATTAATGGTAGAATAGAGAAAAATCCAGAAAGGGAAAATTATATTTGCTTCATACAATTTTTTCTTTCACAGTTCTGTGTGTATATTTCAAGAGCATCTTCCAAAGCTGAAGATTTTAGCACATATTTCACATAACTAGGAAAAGTAAAAGGGGGTTTCAAATTTCAAGTGATTTGAATCCATTGCTAGTTTTTAAGAAAATGTAATTCTACTCTGACTGTTTCTGCTACTCATTTACCTTCAGAAAACTATCACTGTGGCAGAACACATTTCACTTCTGTTATTTTTATTGCTATTGCTTGTGTTACAGAGAACCTAAAGATTGGGAAATGTATTGGAATTGCACTAGTCCAAATGGCAGTCCAAAAACAAGTTAAAAGTGGAGGGCTTGCAGGTTTTTCAGGTGAGACATGAAAAACATGCTGGAGAAAGCAAGAAACACACAGATGGTGTTTAGCTGGTAATCCCAGGCAGAGTCAGAAGCTGGCCCCGCTCTTTGAAGTCACCTGCTTACAGAAATGTCATTGATACTTCTCATAGAGTTTTCAGTTCTACTTGGGATGCAGAATTAAGAAGTAGGAATATTCTATTTTTTTTCCTGTGTCCTGTGTCTCTTTCCTGCTCTGATTTTAAACTCCATATTAAGAAATGTAACAGAAAATTTCAAATAACCCCAATAACGCTCGTCCTGCCTCCACTTCTCAAACTTGCTCGTATGGTTGCTCTCATTTTGCAAGAGTTGCTGTGTAGTTGCCTGTAGTGCTGTGCTTGCCAAAATGACCTGAGAGCAGCAGGCTGGAAATAGAGAGCATGAATCTTCCTAATGCTTTCAGGTCCCTTTGATACACTTTAAAACAAATCGGTAAGCAAATAAAATAGCTTCTCAAATAACTGAGGCACTGCATTAAATATTTTACAGAAAGGCTATGAGGCCACATCAAAAGACTGTGAATGAGATGGGAATCTATCTTCCCATTGATGTTAACAATGTTTGGATTGAGCCATAGATTAATGATGTTATTGAAATTTCTCTTTGGGCAATAGGCAGTCAGATGTGTGAAGAATAGGAAAATATTATGGGACAGATGGAAGGAAATGTACTTCACTAATATTCGTGAAAGATTTTGCATGTGCTTTGATACATATTCCTTTGCTGAGTAATTGAAATAGATTCAATCATTCTTCTGAAGGTAAACCACAATTAGAGCTGTCATGGAGCTTTTCTGATGATCAAATGTATTTTTACATTTACTTGAAAGTGTGGGGCCATTATGCTTTCGTTTTCAGTGAAGCCAGTTGATTCAACTTCAATTATTTCAGTAAGAGACCTGGCTTTGCTGGCACAGAAGCCAGGGAAAGCTTTACTATTGACCATAGCAAGGTCAGGGTAGTGCATAGATAAGAGCCGACAATACATCTGAAACCCAGAGTTCAGTGGTAAGCCCAGTTGTCTCTACATACCTATTTATATACCTCAATGAACATGCATCCCATAAGAAATCTGAATAAATAGGTATGTACACCCACACAGTGGAAAAACGAGCCCCATATATAATAATATACATGTAAATTTTCTTAGTTAAACATAGAACAAGTAAACATACATTGATTGTTCTGAAGTATGTTAAAGGTTCCATGTAACAAAATTTTATGCAATTCCGAGCTTCTAACATGCAGTCGAAGACAATAATTTCAAGCAGTTGTTCGCATATTTTACTTTATACATGCTGATCTCTGTTTTCCTTTGCTGTATATTTTAGCCCATGAAATAATCTCCAAAAGTGGTGGAGTAAATTGGTTTATTTAAAAGTTAACTAAAAATTATTTGGAAAAAAGAATTTTTAATTTATCACATGCCTTTTCTTTTCTGTTGAAGGGCTCTTATTTTGGCGAACATATTGATTTCCTCTGCTACTATTGCCTTTATTTCAGCTTTTACATGTCAGATGCTCTTTGTTTCTGTTGTTACACCTCAAGATGGAGTATCAATCCAATATAGTGACCTACATTATTTCCCAGAACTGAACAATTATGTAGTAAGTGTAGCTTCAATGCTCTGTACTGTGTACCTACTCTAGGTCTCAGAGCTGCAAATCAGCACCTGCTCCTTTTAAATACATGTGAAATTAATTATATGGATAAATCTAATGTAGGCTAGATAGCCCACAGCAGGCTGGACTCAGGAGAAAATCAAAGCCAAATATCAATCAGTACTTAAAAAAGAATTTGGTTCAGTGAAATCTCCAGTACCAAAGTTAGATGCATTGGAAAATATATTTCTGGTCTTTTTTATGGTGATCTTGTGGCTTGCAGAAAACCCAAGAAGATAGGAATAATCTCTTCCATGAAATCTAGTAAATGGTCTACATCAGCTGGATATATTAAAGAAAATGAGGTATTAAAATGATGGGAATGGAAAAATCATCATGAACATTTGGCTTGAACTGAATCAATCCAGACAAAAATATATGTGGCAGAAGGCATAGAGTTACAAAACTTGAAATGTCCTACAATAGTGCAGATTATAACAAATATGTCCTCAAGATTCTTACTATCAGCAAGGCAGTATTAAAAACATGAGGGTTTTGTCTTTTTGTGTGCGAAGAAAATAGATTCTAAGGAGTCCATCTTGAAGTTAAAGAGGTCATTATACAATGACATGTTAAAAATGGAATGTCCTCAAAGAAACAAGAAAGAAGTTTATAGACATATCAAAGAGACTATAAAAACATAGGCCTTTAGAAAGTTTCTAAAGGCTTTCTATAAGCCTTTAGAAACATAGCTTGCCCTCTTTCTTCTTATTTGCAGCACAAACTAGCAGGACGCAGAATATAGAATTTACAAGTTAAGAATCTATGCATTGAAACTCTGAGGATATACTGGCAGTAAATACTTTTAAATAGATGTCTTCTTGGGACTGTATTTAAAGTATTTTGATATAGCTTCCAACATTCCCTGAGAAGATAAATTCTAGGCTCTGTATTAACATAGAGGAATTCATAATCCCAGTGCTGATGTTAGGTGTTGCAGTGTTAGGCCCTCAAACAGGGGCTGATGAGGAGATATGAGAAGTAGGATGGCAGTGGTGGAGCAGTCTTCATGTCTGGCTGTAAGGTGAGCTGATCCTGCAAGGAACTCTAAGGGCTGCACTCCCATGGGCTGCAAGGAAGATATTCAAGGGCTGGGACATGAGGAGAGGGAGCTGATGGTCTCTCTTCTCTGGTCTTCAACAAGAAAATCCAGACAAATATTCATTAGCCCTCTGAAAATACCTCATTTTGATGCCTTCTCCCATCACAGAACACTTCTAATAGGCTGTAAGAGGACTCCCATTCTAAGGGTTTGTCATGGGTATTTCATGAGAAATCTGTCTGTCAGGAATTTTAAGACCTTAAAGCCATGTGAGTAGCCCCACATCTTCATTTCAGCAGATAACTTCCCTGGAAAATGAGGCAGCAAGGCAATAAAATGGTTGGAATTAAACATGGACGTAGTGGGGTGGCTGGGATGGTTGCCAAACCCCATCCAAGATACAGGGAGTTTTTTTGCTGTTGCAAAACTATGTTTCTGTGCTAGATTTGAGACTGTGTTTATATGTGATTTGCCTCAAGAACCCTATCTGGTCTGTGATACAAGTAGCTTTTGACATTTCTAAGTAAACTGTTTAAATTATCTGTGGGCAGACATTTAAAATGCATCTGTCTAATTAGAGGGCCTCTGTTTATGTTAAAAAAGAACTTAATGAATCCTTACAGACAAATCTGAATATAATTACAGAGTGTGCTTGTCACTCACTCTCACAAGCTACTTCCCAGCCTGCTCAGCACTGGGGCCTCCTTCAGCATTCACGTTTTTGTCAGATGATTTCATTTCTCCTTGAGAAACATGCTGGGCCCTCACTGAGAAGCAGACTGGGCTAGAACTCTCAAATGCCTTCAGTGAGTGGAAATGCAGTCCCAGGGACAGTCCCACGGTAATAAAACCAAATAAAGAATTAAGACTGTAAAACAGATTGCTGACAACTTTGTGCAGAATCCTCTTGGTGTCTGTATAAGCCCTCCAACATTTCCTCGTTGGAGCTCTATATTCTCCTGCTGGTCCTGCCTCAAATGCAAATCTGGAGTTGGCCCAGTGCACCCAGGTGAGCTGGGCAGGGGAGCCCCTGTCACTCCTCTCCCAGCCTCCCCAAGGGAGGCTTGTGTGGCTGCTTGAGACCAGAGAGAGAGGGTGGCTGAGCCTGGTTATCAGAGCAAGGCTTGGCTTTCTGCTGTTTCTGTGCTTCTGTGGTTTTTTTCCCATCTCTCTTGTTCAGTAATTACTGAAGACAAGATAAAGAGCTGGTCCCTCGAAATTAAACTTAAGTTTCCCATCTGTGTTCTTCTGATCTAACCATAAACTTACACTTTTTCAGGAAGTGAAAACAATGAAATGATGAAAGGGTGGTGAAAAATAATGCAAACAATTGGTATTGCATGGTAGGGGGGCTGGGCAGCATGCCCTCAGGAGGTCAGGCCAGTGCTTCAGTCTGAATATTTGAATAAATTCGGGCATGAACCGCTATTAATTTAAAATGACCAGAAAGAGGGCAAAAAAAAAAATGCCACAGCAAGGAAAAAACAAACAGGCTGGATGTAGCTTTTTATTTAAAGGCTGAATTAGGTTTTGTAATTTCAAAACAATATTTGTTACAACAAATATTGAAACAACTTCCTGCATTCTGCTTTACACTAGGTACACAAAAGTTAGTTGTCTTGTTTAAAGTATTCTTTTTTGCTTCATATTTTTCAGGGTCTCTTTTCAACCTCCTGTTTAATCAGCATATTCCTCCTGAACTGAAGAATAAATGGGATCTGAAATGAATTTAATAGGACATCATCAGCTAGCCTCTGCTGATGGATTTCCTCTTGCTGAAGGTCCTCATTTGTTTGGTAAGTCACCAAACTGGGTTGAAATAGCAAGCTGTCCTATACTCAGAAACCTAGGAGAAAATGGACTGAAATTTCAAGTCAAGGATATTAGGCTGAAATGTGCCAACCTTCTCGAATCTTCAATACCTGTGAGAGGAATAACAAACAATAGATCTGTGGTGTTAATGCAATCCTGCACATTCTTGCTCTCATCACTGCTCACAGTCTCACCTACAACCTGTAGGTTGTTTTTGTGACACTCTTCTAATACTGGAGATCATTTGGCAAAAACAGACCTTTGTATGGAGGCTGGATGTTACCTTCATGTGAGTCACTTAAATCAAGCTGAGCAGATATATTTTCAGTTAATCTGTAACGAAGTTATAGTGCAATGTATTTGTATTGCCATATTATGCAAATTTATGAAAGTAATTTCACCTAAATTAAAATCCCTGTCTTATTACGGCCATTAAAAATTTATCCTAGTAGCTTCAGTGCACAAGAAAATTTATAAAGCAGGCTGGAAGATTCTCCTTGCTCCAGTTTCACTGGATTTTTCAAGGCTAAGCATGAGTTTGTTAATAAGTGAAAAATTCTTGGTCAATATTTTATAAGCATGGGTAAGTTGTTTTCTGGTATATGTACCACTAAGAAAAAAAAAAAAAGATAATAATAAATTGTTTTAGCCTTTCATTTGACAAGACAATGGGTCCTTCATTGAATAAGTTATGATACATTGAGGGCCTCACACACAATACAGACCCCCACAAAATGCTGCAACACTTCAGAAGTTTGCAGTCCAAATAAGACCAGAATTCTGCCTTTTTGAGTGCTGGAAAGACCAACACATTGCAGTTTCACCTGTCTGAAACAGGAGTATGGCCTGGGGCCTGGAAGGAAGGGCTCTGGCATGCAGAGCCACTCCAGCTGCTGAGCTCCCAGGAGTCAGGACCATCTCTACGAGTCAGACCACTTGCAGTGTCCTGGCTCCACACAATTAAACTAAAGAATTATCACTAATGGTAGGCAGAACCCACTCCATTATTGAGTGTTACCAGTTTTTATTCCTCTTTGTTTTGGGGCTTGGTTGGACAAATGTTTTGGAGTTGTTGAAAAAAAAATATACTAACAGCTAAAACACTCCTTTGCTACCTTTTAATTCCAGTGTCAGGCCATGATATACAGAGAGGAGAATGATGTTCAAATTTAGGGTGCCAAATTTTATATCCAGTGATCTTTCAAAACTCCTGCATACGCGAGCTACTTCAGATTTTTATTAATACATTCCTCCCCAATATCTACTTTTTCATTAATTATTTCATTAATTAAAGGAGTAATTATAAGGTTGCTTAAAAATACAAGGAAGAGTGTTAATGTAAAATACTTTCCTTCCACAGGGTAATCTTACTTACAAATTGTGAAGCTTTCAGAAGAGGCAATGTGTCTCATTAATGGTGTTCAGAGCTTAGCACAATGGAGATTTAATTCAAACTGACATTTCTGTAACATAAAGAAATAATGTACTAAGGAGTTGAATCAGGGGTCTTATTAGGAAGAAAACTTAGGACTCCTGCTGTGTTTCACTTAAGCTGACTTTTCTTTTGTGGGGTGTCACTCTAATAGGGTGTCTTTTTTGCTTTTATAGCTGGAAAAAAGCCTATCAGAAATAATATGCAACTGAGTGCACAGAGAAAATTACTCATTGTGAAAATATGACTCCATCCCCACAAAACACTTGTAGGAAATGGCTTTGTCTCTCAATTCTTTATCTTTGTAAATTATTTGCAATTTTTGTCATTCCATTTTGGCAGGAAGTGACTTGTGAACCCCAGAAAACAGGAAGAAAGTTTTTCTTTTAGATGGTCCTTATAATGCATGTTTCTTTTAGGTCTTCTCATACATTTCAGCTCACAAGTTAAAAATTGCTGGCTTACAGACATTACCCTTTACACAAACAGTCTCCTTTATTCAAAGATGCATGCTCTCATTCCGTAAAAGGACCTTGGAAATACATTTTGTTTTCACTCTGCTTTATTCAGTTGATGGGGAGAGTGTTCTTAGACCTTCAGAAGCAAATCTAATTGCTGCTCCAAACATTAACTCTGGATTCAGGTCTTTCAAAAAGAAATGTTGTCAATTCTGAGTTGCTTGTGCTTTGAGCCTCATCACCGTAGAAATTCCAGGGCACTTCTACATCCTTTGCCTCAAGACTTTCAGATGCAGCAGGTTTCGGAAAAGGAAAGGTTGTCTACCTTTCAGTAGATGAAAATTGTATGTTGCCATTTTAAGAGTATATGTCTAAGGTAAAGTATCTCTGGATGTCTTTGGAGGTAGTGTGTTCTAACCATAGTTTTTCACTTCTGCAGTGATGAGTCCCTGGGGAAAGGACCTGAAAATGCAAATGAGGAAGGATCTTTAACCTAGTTAAATTCAGGGCCCTTCCCTTCCACCCTGTCTTCTTGCAAAACTGCTTTTTTTCTGACTCTCTACTCAGAAAGGTTATATATTTGTGTGGCACCTGAAGTATATACAGTATGTGACTCAAACTGTCATTTCTATGATAAGTAGTTAGCTCCATTTTATTTTCTGTGAAAGCACCTCATATACAAGTTGCTAGTATGCAGGATACTAAGTGTGAAACTTCAGATATCAGAAACTGAATTATTTCTAAGAAACTGAAAAGAAAATAAAATTCTTAGTTTGAATGAACACCTATTTCAAGTATTTTCAAGTATTTCAAGTATTCTTGATGGCCTGAAAATGTTTTCTTGTAATGTGATGCTAAAATATAACAAGACAAGAAATGCCAGCCTCACTGTAGATGTATCTAGCTGGGAAAGAAGGTTTTGGGGGAAATGAACACTCTTAAAAGCTGTGGAAAGGATGAGGAACAATAAGAAAAAAAATGACATGTAACAAAGGGGGTAAAAAAACCTGTATACCTAAAATGAAAGAACAACAAATATAATTGAAAATTAATTGTTGTAGACACAGAACAGGGCCTAAGAGTAGCTTAAAAGACTGACTCCTTTTAGGTAAATTACTTTTTTTTTCTGCTTTTTTTCTTGGCTTAGTTTGGTTTGGTTTGATTTGTGGTTATTTGGGTTCTTTTAATTGTTGTTTTGTTGGGGCTTTCAGTTTATTTTGTGAGGATTTTTGGTTTTGTTTTATGGGATTTGTTTGTTTGTTTGTTTTGTTTCGTTTGGTCTTTTTTTGTGTGTGTGTATTTTTAAAATAAATAAGAGTGATGAAAAAGTTGTTAGGGTCAAGTGTCCAAACTGATTAAACAGCTTCAAGATCATAAGATATGTTAAATAACTTCTTGTCTTTGGCACCACCTGGCAGTTGATGCAACATCTGGCTTCATCCCTGCAGAGAAGATAATTAGGCTCATAACTGACCCCCAAATCAAAAGGAACAAACCAGCACAAATTAAAACAGAAAACATTGGATGCATAATAATTATTAAGAGAGCCAAACCAAACAGAGTGGCAATGTGAGTAAAAAAATTAATGAGAAGGACAGATTGGATGTGGCTTTCAGCAACCTACTTATGAGGAAGGTATCCCTTTCTATTTCAGGGTTTGGAACTAGGTGATCTTTAAGGTCCCTTCCAGCCCAAACCATTCTGTCTTGTCATACAGGTGTGTCCAGTATGGTCTGAGCTCTTTGGCCTTTTTTTGAGAATGCAACATTTCTCCACGTAAAAACCCTGCTTCCTGTGATACTGGAGTGGTTAATCTATTGCACAGAACCACCTGACCTTACCAAATATTGATTGATAGAAAATTTGTTTGGAACAAAACCACAATAGGTACAAAAATACAATGGCTAGGCTACTTGGAGGCATCCCCTCAAACTGGTAGCCAAATTTTATCCAGGTAAATCCACACTGGGAACAGACATTGTTTCCGGCATCTACAAACAAGTTGCTCGTAATGAAGTTAATTAGTAAACTATACAACCCCTGGTCTGTGTCACTCCTTTCTAATCTTAAGGAAAGTTCTCACAGTGAACAGGACACAGACAAAGCAGAATTAAGAAGTTTTATGTACATGTAGACTTTAGGAGGTCAAAAAAGGAAAAAGAGAGAGCGAGAAGGACTGTGGCACCTTAAGGAGAGTATCTTTCATCAGGAAATGGACAGATTGAACGCAGCCTGAGGTAGGATATTGCCATATTCTCCCTTGGATATTTTTGTTATCTATTCTTGCACTCTTCCTTGAAATTGTGGGATGCTAGTAGGCTTTTTACACCAAGTGATCTTTAAAAGATGCACAAATAATTTGTTTGGAATTAAACCAGGATTTTGATAATGGCTATGCCATGGTTTCCGAATGACCTAATTCTGGATATTGTTATTTTATTATGTTCCTTGATGAATAATGAAGGAGAGCCAGGGGTTCATATTTTAAACCTGCTTAGAATTTAGTTCTCTTTGTTGAACTTTATATTAGTGGAACAATAACTTTTACATTAAAATGTGATCTCATTGTAATTTCTGTAATATTCTGCATAAAATCATATTTAGCTTGCCCAAAATCTCAGTATCATTCAGTGAACTGAAAACAATTTCTTTATTCCTGCAAGGAATATTTCTACAAGTCAAATATTTTTTGAAGCTTCTTGTAAAGTATTCAGTGTAAAATTTAAAGTAACAAAAGTAAAACTCGCTAATAAGTTTCAGTTGCAAGTAGAAAAAAATATTTGTAAAACAATGATCATACACATGTGAAGGTTTCACTTTGTTTTTAGTAAGCGGTCAATATTTTTGTAAAAGGTTTTAATTGAAAAATACTTATTACAAAATATAAGATTTGCAAATTGAAAAAAATATGCAGATGTAATAAACTTAACATTTGTGTGTGCTTAAATAGTCTTTCCTTAAAAATCTGAAAGGTATCGTTCCAAAAAGAAAAAGAGATAAGTGGTTCAAAATATTTAAGACCACACAAACAAAATGTCGGTGTAGTCCAATGTGCTCATTTCTGATTTCACTTTCACTGCTCATGCTACTGCCACTACAATGATTTTACTGGGCTGCTCATGCTTTAGTTGCATGAGACCAGTCCATGCCAGACCTCTATTACATATATAAATATATCTGGAGAAAAGCTTATGTACATTCTGCTTGGTAAGATAAGATTACTTTTCTTCTGTGATAAGAAATTATTTAGTCCAGACTCTCATGTACAGGTCTACAGGTACGTCATGCTCAGGTCTACTTAAAACATACCAAATCAAAACCAAACAAAAAACCCTCAAAACTTCAAGCTAAAGTGGGAAAACCTACAGAGTTGCCACCTAATTATCTTCAAAAATCATACTGGTCTTTAAGCACTTCCCAAAGCTTAAGCTGTGAGTCTGTTTTACATAAAACAAGGCCATGTTCTCTCAGTCTCTCTCAAACCTGTCTGGTTTTCCTTTTCCCTTCCATTGCTCTGAGCATGGACTCAGTTCAGCTAAATTGTTTAAAGTGTCTGATGGAAGGAGAAAGGAGGTGATTTGGGCTGTTTGGCTTTTTTTCCTTTTCTAAACTTAATTAAGACTCTTTTTTTTTTGTTTGTTTGTTTCCTTTGGAAGCAGAGTAGAATTAATGACTGGGGAGATTTTTCTAAACATACTTGTAACCCAAATGGCTCTACAGTTCTTTAAATAAACCCCCAGTATTGTCTCAGGATGTGCTGCAGTCCTTTAGTAATCTGAGTTTTTTAACAAGCCCTGATATTTTTTTCCATGGAAGGAATGTTGCCTTCTCTTCTTGCTCTTTCAGAAGCCCAAGCAGTTCAAGAGGCTAGTATACAGCTGTTGTGGAGTTTCCTGTGTATGACAGAAAGCAAAAAGCTAAAAATCAACAGTTTCTTCCTTTTAATTTTGGGATTGTCCCACTTTCTTTTAGCAAACTCACCTAATTACCAATGAGCAAGTGAAAACTTAGATTTCCACAGTGAACAGTTTCCTTTCCAAAGAGATACTGAATGATTGTGTATCCCACAATTAACCCCATATTTACCATCATCAAGGTACCTGAGGTACCTTGACCAATCTTCATGAGCAGCAGTCTCTGCAAGTGGTAAATAGAGCTAAAATACCACTCATTAAACCTATACTGGATATGAAATCTTTGCTGTCCTCACCCTTTACTTGTTTCATCACTGCTGTGGCTGGCAGGTATCAGTGACAGTCTGCATCTGATGCATGAAGCTGTAGTGTCACTTCCAGGCTCTTTCACAGAGTCCCCAGATGCCCTCTGTGTGTCTATACTCTTTGTTTAAATGGCATAACCTTGGATTCAGGGAGTGCCTTCTGCTACTCTGCTTCTGCCACTGTAGCACTTGGTGCCCTGGCCTCTTCCAGAGCAACAAAAAGCAACCATCATTAAACTAATTGCTGGTAATAAAGGGCACCATTATTCTCATTTGGTTTTGGCTCACCTTTTCCAGACATACATCTCGCTGCTTATTCTGGAACTGGGACCTCAACACTTGTGATTGGCAAAGATGTGCTGTGGGCTATAGTAGAGAAGCCACAGAAACCCAAAACACTCGCATGGCTTCTGCAGCATGGTAAAACAGGAAGGGCAGAAAGCTGCAGAGCAAAAGTGTGAGACCTTGAAAGTGAAAAAGCCAGTGTAATTAATAGGTCAGTTCCTGGCATTAACTGAAGTGAGACAAAGGAGAGGGAAGGATCCCCCACAATAGATTTTAATTATTTTTGTCATTACAGATGTTCCCTGTTCTTAACTGTTGGCATTTCTTCATTGTTTTTGATTCCTCACAAAAGAAGGACACTTGTCCGTGACCAATTTTATGTCAGCAAAAATGTTTTTGGAGTTCTTCTGAAGTACTGTTAAGTGATGGTCACCAATGAGCATTAATCTATGATTTTCCTGTAAATACTGCTGTTGATTCAAATAAGACTGGACTGATCATCTTCCTGGAAATATGCACTCTTTTCCTCAGACTCTCTTCTTGGAACTATTGAAAGAATTGAGAGTCAGAGTTTTCATGAAACCGCAAGATGCGGCTCTCTCCAACAGAAAATAAGAAATAGTTTGCAAATAACTTTTAAATTCAGCTTTTCAGTTGTTTGATGTGGACTGGATTTTACCTATGCCATCCAGGGACTGCGAGATGTTGCTGTGCTTGGAGTACAGAAAAGAAAAGAGGGCTCAGTTGTCTGCAATTTAAAATATGCTATTTAATGAGCAAGGTTAAGGTAACCTTCAGATACTGTGTTGATCCCAACAGGAAAGGTTGCCACTCCTTGTGCCACTGCCAGCTCTGTTGCTGGCTCAGAGGTGACTAATGCTGGCTTACAGAGGTGCTTCCCATGAGAGCCTCACTGAGTGGCACAGGGGCTGGGGACCAGGCTGCAGAGTCTGGCTGGCCACTGGAGGCTGGATGGTGAGAAGGTTGCATTTCATCACTTACATTAGGAATATCTTTCTTGTTCTTTCCTGGTAACCTCACCTTCTTATTTCAGGCTCTTCTTGAAGGCTTATTTCATGTTTTCAGTCTTCTAATTAAGCCTCACCCTTGTCATTTTTCCCTAGTGAAGTTTTTGTCTTTCATGATGTATTCATTCAGAATTAATACAAATTAACATGATGTTCGAATCTTGATTTAGCATTCACCAATACCATGGAGTTTTTGCCATTTGTTTGGATTTCTTCCATTCTGCTTTTAGGCCTAATTTGGGTTGTTAACTTCTCTGGGGTGGGGTTGCTCTTTCTAATAAACTGAACAATTATATGATTACCTGCACAACATTTTTCAAGATTTTTTTATGTAACTGCCAGTGCTGGACATTTCCACCAATTATAAAGGAGTGTTAGAGAATGAATAAATTATTTTTAAAACTTCTTGCAGTGTATTTGTGTAGCAAATCTGAGTTTAGATAACGCAATCTTTGTGTTTGTGCCTGGTTTTTGAGATAGATGTCTGGAAGCGGAAACTTCTCTGATAACTAAAATTTCATGGTAGTAATAGAAATTGGTTTTGCATTATTATTTTCCAGGTGTCCTTTCAGAACCAATGAGTTCTCCAGTGCAAGAGGCAGATGTGTCACCTTATGCACAGTACAACAATGTGCCATTTCCTCAAGTTCAGCCTCAGATCTCGTCGCCACCTTATTACTCCAACCTAGGCTTCTACCCTCCACAGCATGAGGAATGGTACTCCCCTGGGATGTATGAACTCAGGAGGTTACCCTCAGAGACCTTTTTCACAAGGGAGACAGAGATAATGGACATCCCTGCAGCCAAAAAGCCTAGACTGGGTCACTCCACGGGAAGAGTGAAAGGAGAAGAGCTCTGTGTGGTCTGCGGTGACAAAGCCTCTGGGTATCACTATAATGCCCTGACTTGTGAAGGATGCAAAGGTAGGATGAAATCAGCTAATAGGCACAGCAGCTACTCAGGTTTTTTGGGTTTGGTTTTTTGTTGTTGTTGTTGTTGTTCTGTGGTTTGTTTTTTACTTGTTAATTTTGTCCAAATCGTTAAACATACTAGAGATTTGCATTTGGAGCCTGTGTACCCTGTTCTGCATTTCCCCCAGGGCAGACTGGCAGTGTCTTCTACCATTGCCCTATGATTATACAGCATAACAGGCCAACCTCCAGCTCTTGAGCACCATTAGCTTTTGGTGAACAGCTTTCTCTGGAGACTGGCAGCCTGGCTCTGCTCTCTGTGGAAGCTGCTCATGCCATTCTCTGCCTCTGGAAGGAACATGCCCATGGAGGCCCCTGGGAGCTGAGTGCTAGGCTGCCCTAGAAAATAGCTAAAACCAGCCCAAGTGCCTCAGGTAGTATGCATTGAAGGGAAGTAAAAGCTGTCAACCCCCACCTGCAGGCTGTTCCCAGGGACTCTCTTTCCCCCAGCTCCCAAAGGATATGATGGGTGTCTTCAGGTTTGTGAAATGAAAGGATTTCTAGTTCTATACTTTCTTCTCAGGGTAGCCCCTATCTGTAGGGAGGGAGCTTCTTCAGGAGAAGGTTTTATCTGTAGGACAAATATCTTGCTTCTTAGAAGAATATTATTCACATAATATTATCAAGATAAATGTGATGTAGAAAATCATTACTGTCATGGTAAACATGATTGTCAGATATTTTAGCAGAGAGGGACAAGAGATTATGTCAACTATCATACCTGAAGAAGTATAATATACCTGTGACAAGGCTGAGGTACATTATGGCCAGAAAAATAGTGCCCCATTTTTTCATCCTGTTCTGTGAATAAATATTTCAATAAAATTTCTGTTTTATGGATAAAGACTAAAGCATGGTCACTACCAAATTACTAAAATATCTTAATGTGGAATTCACTGTTATAGAGAGTGGACCTGGACCTAATGTGTGCTTTATCTATCACAGAATCATTTGTGAGGGAAAAACAGATCACAAGATTCAAACACTCGAAACATGAATACAGTCAAGGCTCACACAGTTTATTTCAATAATTCCAATAAATAAGAGATTCATTTATTTCTGCTGTCTGAGTGAATAGTCTCTGAGACAAAAACTGTGAATTAACTCATATTAATGCTGTCATTATAAACCAGGTTAAACTCAATTTTGATGTGGCAATTCCAAGTAATGATACTGTTAAATTAATTCTGTTAGTAAGCTGTTCCTCCTCTTTATTAACTGCAGTATTTAATGTGTGAGAAACTTTTCAAAGACTTAAAATTACAAACTTTGAATTTTGTATAGAATGTTTCTGGAAGAGAGGTTAAAGCTATCAGGTAAATATTCAGACTAAAACCCATGGTGAAAGGAAAAGTGCATCCACTTCCCTACTGATTCAGTTTGAATCACTCTATGTAACCATAATTTTACTGCTTTATTGGGATAATCTATTTTATATTTTTGTTCTGTTTCATGACTGCAACATCAATTACAAAGAATAGTACCCTTGATCAAACATAGTAAAAGTTGAATTACTTAAAGATAATGGATTCTGTTTCTACAATAAATTTTAAAGGTGACTAAAGTACCAGCTGATTCAGTAAAGAGATGTGCTGAGGACAGTAATTCTGTCTGACAAGGCAGAGCAGATACTATGTTTTCTAGATCTCTTGATCATTCTTGTTACCTGTGGAGTTTTTCACATGGGTATACATTGCCTTCAAAGCATGGAGACCAAAATTATGCTCGGCACTTCAGTTGTGCTCTTATCAGTGCAGTATAATAACCACCTCACGTGTCTGTGTCTTGAACCTCAGTATGAGATTATCCCTTCTTTTTGCAACAAGACTGCTAATTCATGCTCAATGTGTGTCCAAAATAATATGCAGGTCCCTTTCTAGTGCTCACCTTGGAGCACCTCTGCTCCATTGATGCAGTGGTTGTTCTTATTCAAAGGAAGAAGCTTTGCACATATTTTTATGGGATTCAATCCTCTGTGATGAATATGTTAATTTTTTTTATTATTTCTTTCATGGGTAATGTATTCCATTCTCTTTGGTTTTCTTTCTTGTGCAGATGAAACAATATTAGGATCTTATCTATTGTCCTTATGAGAATATTCATCTGAAGATATTGGCAGGAGTATATATTGATATATATATATTTCTTAATATATTGTCATCCATAAACAAATATGTATGAACTATTTCATTGGTATTTTACATAATATTTACAGCACAAGGAGCAATACACTATGTTTAAACTTGCTACTGTGGAGACCATTTCTGAAACAATCTTTGCAGACTAACATCAAAGACATTCTAGTACAGCCTCAGCCTGGACAGTTATACTGGGTTTTAAGGGCCATTTTTAGGTGTTACAGGACAAGTGTGACATAATGTTGTGCTTGTTTAATTAAGCCACAGAATGAGTTTGGTTGAAACAAAAAGCGCCCATCTTTGAGATCCCTTTCAACCCCAGCCATTCTGTGACTCTATGAAAAGCTAGTTACACATCCCCTCCATGCAGGCTTGCAGTAGAAATTTTTGCAGTATTCAAACCACTCCTGTGCTGCTTGATGTGTCTCACACCAGACTAGAATTCTTCTTGCAGAAAGGGTCCTGCTTTAATCTTCTCCTTACACTAACACCCACCATGGGGGCATGGGGCAAAAGAATGCCAGAAGATGTCTTGATGGTCTGACAGAGCAGAGCAGGTGCTTTGTTAGCAACTGTGAATTTCAAAAACTTTTAAATTTAAAACCCTTCAGAGTGCCAAACAGAGATATTTCCAAAGCTTCCATCCAATCTTTTTACAGCTTCCCTCCTTCAACTTTCATAATTTCCATGAGAAAAAATCAGCTTCAGTAACATTGGAGCAGCTCTACCATAATTAATCATATTCATGACTACCTCAGAGCAAAGCAAATTCAACATTTCCAGCCAACATGAGCTTTTTGTAATTTGGCGAGATCAGATAAAAATTAGACTGTGCCAGAAAAACCTTCAGGTTTTGGGATTGCTAACCCTTTGTTAGTTTAACCTATGTTGTTTCAGACTTACCTTTAAATTTTAGTAAAACTCCTCCTGTTATAGAAAGTCACATATCTGGCAGTGTAAATTCATTTTGAATTAGTAGTGGATAATATATACAGAAATTTCATTCATACCAAAAGCTAATTTCCAAATTAGTTATGAAGAAGTCTGTTCAAAAAGGCAATGATTCAAGAGTCACTTCACAGAAAACTGAAGCAAGAATAGGGTTAAAACTAGTGTTTGCCAAAAAGAAAAAAATTATTTTGCTTTTCATTTCAGATCATTTCACCTTTGTTTTCAAGAGAAAGTATTTGACTGCTTGAATATTGTTGGTTCCTAGCTTTTGCATCCATATTTTTGCCCTTTTCTTTCTTGTATATCTTAAATAAATTATTTATCAATTTTTTTCTTTCTTCCATCATGAAGTAAATGCACACCTTGTGAATAGGTTAAGTGATAAAGTCATCAATCAGTCTCAGAATGTTATAAATATTGGTGCAGAGCTTTTCAGTGTTTACTACTAAATAACGTATCATAAACGATACGATTTTAAATTTGCAAATAAAACAATCAATTTTATAAAGCAGATGCAGTTGCCTTTAACTGACAGTGAGAACTTACAGCTTAAATCCAGGCTTTTTTTCCTTCCCTGACCAGTAAATGGCAATGTATTAAAACCATGTGAGTGATGAATAAAAATAATGCCTGGGGCTTCTGGAGGCTCTAAGTAATCTGCATTTCAAAAGAGACTGATGCCAGTCAACTGTATTTGTTTGAAAAGCAGCCAATAAGACACACAGCATGGAAGAGATTTCAAGCAGGAATTACTGAAGATTCAGAGAAATGCCAGATTTTTGGGACCAGGTAGTGGAATTGTTTTACTGGTTGCTACACACCAGTGCATGGAAGAGATTAGGCAACTATAAAACCATGGGGCAAATTTGGGAAATTTTCATCTGACAATGCATGATCCTTCAAACACACAGACAATTCTTTATATTCACAACTGAATGTGCTTTATGATTTGATTATGGGAGACCGGCTCTTATCTGGTCCTTCTTTTAATGCATTAGAGTGTCAGGTTGGAAAACAATAGTTTTATTGTGCCAGGCAGTGGTGATAAGAAAGCAAAAGCTTTTTGAATAGCTCTGGTTAATATAAATGTACACAGAGCTCTAGTTTGAAGAACAGTATAATCAGTGATGTGGCAGCAGAAGCTCCCAGGAGTTTATTTCAGAAACCTGCCCTCACATGGGGAGGAAAACTGATTCCCACTGTAGCTGATGCTAAATAGTTTCTGCCATGTGAAGGGCAATGTAAGAAGATTATAATGGCACAGTGACTAACACTAAAAATTCAGGAAACATTGACAGCAAAGATTCTGTTGCTTTGTGATGACCCTTATTTAATCACATTTATTATCTTGTCTACCCCGTTTTGCCCACGGTGCCACTCTCACAGATGGGCAGCAACCAAATAGGAGGTTTGAACAGACTTAGGAAGGGTCCTCTCAATTTTTTGTATCAGTTGCTATTTGCAGCTATAACTGTGCAATTTTTGAGTGAATACAGTGACAATACCAGTAGAACTACCTGTGCAGGTGAAATTAGGTGACTACTTAACTCATCAAGTGGACAGTACTTAGTGAATAAGGCTGGAGGATCTTGTAAACAGGGGCGGAGGCCACATGTACAATAGGCAGGTACAGTGCAACTTCCTTATTAAACTTGGGGGTGGGTGAGCAGAGCGGTATGTGGAGCTTCTGTTGCTCCCAGGAGCAGGGGGAAGGGTGAAGAATTACTCATCTCTCTTTCTGCACATTCTGTACATTCTGCACATTCTGCACCTCAAGAGACTTAACAGACTAGCATTTTTTTTTCACTGGCTATTTGTATGGTATCAGCCTACGGCTCTAGTGCTGGTGCTCAGCCTGCTACGGGCAAGTTTCAGATTTGGGTCTGAATTTTCCCAAAATTCACAGTTACAAGACTTTACTTTGGACTAATGTCTAGTGCTTGGGCTCATTTTTTAAATTATATGACTTGGATACAGTTGTCAGTACAAGTATCAAGATTTTAGTCATCCAGGCACTGACATAAATTGTTGATCTGGCAGAACATGCGTCATTTCAGTGCAGATGGAGGTGAACTTCACCTTGGTGACTTTGCTTCTGAGTGTTTTCTTTCATCTATGTCACTGCTGTTTTGTGCAGGATTCTTCAGAAGAAGCATCACAAAAAATGCAGTATACAAATGTAAAAATGGAGGCAACTGTGAGATGGACATGTACATGAGGAGAAAATGCCAGGAGTGTCGTCTAAGGAAATGCAAGCAGATGGGCATGTTGGCTGAATGTATGTATACAGGTATTTGCATCATGCAGGCAGAGAGTGCAAATCCAATACTGGATTTGCTTGAGTGGTCTGGGTTTGACAGTAAAGTTATAAAAGATGTCATTTGGCAGGTGGAAGGTGTATGAAAGAAGATGCTGTGCCTGTGCATCAAACCCTGCTGAAAGACAAATGCACTTTTAAACAATGGGATTTAACTGGTGGTCAGGGATATGAGGGCATAAGAGGTGAGAAAATGGTGAAGGAAGGCCAGTCCTGCACTGGATGACAGCTCTTAGTCTGCTTGAGTGGGAAGGAGCAGGGGAAGTGGGTCTGTGGGAGACTCCCCAGGAGTCAGGGTTTTGCAGTGTTATGGAAGCCAGAGCAGGAAAGTCCTGGCGTTTTTCTTTCCTCCTCTTTCTGGGGCTCCCCCAGTCAAGTTCTTGCTGGCCAAGTGAAAGTTTTGGCACATACACAATGCCATTTTCAAGAAAAGAGCGGGAGTGTTGCTAGCAGGAAGTTTCTGTGGACTTGCCAAATGTATGTTCCCAGACCTCACCCAGCAATCAGGCAAAGCCGGGTAAGGGCTGGCCCTTTTTTATAGTCTCATTAGCTTTCCTCATGGTGCTAGAGGCACACAGGTAGAACTCATGGACACATAGGTCTCCAGAAATGAACCCAATGGATTTTAATAATGTTGCACAGTAAAGCAAATATTCTATTCAGACTGACAGTTTATAAATTTTATTGAGCTTCAAGCTGGATAACTTAGAACAATGGGGATATTGAAGTACAACTTTGAACATGTTTAAAGCTCCTCTTTGAGTTATTGCACTGTTTTTGTAAGCCTGCTCCTGTAAACACTCTGTAAACATCTGCTCCTTTGCCTTCCATGAATAAGACTACAATTTATTCTTCTTGATGGCTCCAGTCACTTTAGCATACACCTATGTGTGAAATCAATTTAGGTTCATACAGGAAATTAATCTACTTGGAATTTTTAATATATTTCTATCCTTCAATCTGATCAGAAGATGCTATAGTAACTGTTGGTTATATGAGAAACAATAAGCTCCATCAATATTTCGAAGGTGTTGCCAGCATAATGTAATTAATCTTTCATTCTGCAAATTGAACAGGCTGCAAAGATCCTGAGATAGGACATATTCTTGTGCAATACATAAATATATGAGCAGACCCCACTTTGATGGAAGAACCAATGCATTCTGCGTTGTCAAAGGAAAATAATTCCCCTGTGGAGCTCAGCCCTGATCCATTGCTTCAAAATTTTGAGAATTCAAAATAGCTTGAGTCACTCAGTGCAGCAAAAAACCCAACAACCCACTGCTGAAAAAATAAAACCAGGTCAGCGTAAATAATACTGACTGGGACCACATGAAACTTTTATGCTGGCCTATCATTTTCACAAGCTGGCATAGGGGAAATAAAAGCCAGTGGGTGCTGCTGCCATTTGACTCCCTCTCTGCAATGGAAACACGGGGTATCTTGTGTTGCTCATGACTTAACCATAAGTGTGCTCTAATGCACTGCAATGAGGATGTTTGGCAAGGCACCATTTAATGGCTTTAAAGTAGGAGTGTGTTGTATAATTGCTTTTTGTTCAAGGCAATCTAGGACAGTAAAACATGAAACTTCTGGTAGTATAGGGCATTTATTTGAAAAAATATGACTAGGAAATAAAAGGTTACCTTGAACTTTGTTTCACTTACTCATTTTGTAGGATTGTAATTGCAAGCTCTGGGGATTCTTTTTTCTTTCCCTCTGAACAAGGAGCTAAAGTATTATAAATATTTATGGCACAGCTACTCAACAATCTTTCTCCTGCCCTTTATGTGCAAACTACAGACAGACCAAAATTACTACCCATCAATTTCAGTCATTTGCTGTCATTTGGATCTAAACTGCAAGTTTCTTGGGTGAAATGTCTACCTAGGGAAGACCCAGGTTCTGCCACTCTTTTGGAATTATACCCATTGAAACCTAGCTATCTCTGAGCTAAAAAGTGATGTCCTGTCTCACACACAAGTTTTTCAGATGACTTAAATGGAGCCAGAATAAGATATCAAGGTAATACTTAGTAGCAAGAAGCATGAGGAAAATCTGTCTTAATGCTCAAGGTAATATAAAGCAAATTTTCCCTAGAAAAGCAATAGACCAGAACCTAAGCTGGTGGAAAACAGCACAAGCCCATTAACAGCACCAAAGATGCACTGAATAATTTAGAAAAAGAAATCTATGGTGCTGTGTGGCACCACAAATTACATGGCTCGATACCAATTATTATCTCTATCATTCCTATTCCCTCCTTTCAAGGTATTCTTTGCAGGTCTTATTTTAATCATGTAAATTTCCTCTTCTCTCAGCAGTTCAGGTAGGTCATTTTATATAGGGCTTAAACAGGAAATTAAAAACATTCACAACGAGATTCACTGGTTTCATGGTATCTTCCTCCACATCATATACTCGCTGAATGGGCCTCTTTTCCTGCTCTGCATTTTTAAAGGTGAAGAATGGGAAGAATACTTGAGAGAAAAAAAAGAAAGAAAGAGAGGAAAGAGAGAAAGAAAGAGAGAGAGAGAGAGAGAGAGAAAGAAAGAAAGAAAGAAAGAAAGAAAGAAAGAAAGAAAGAAAGAAAGAAAGAAAGAAAAAGAAGTCCTATGCTTAAAATAAATAGGTTTGTTTTTAGATGAATACTTAGGTGTTTACTTGTTCATTTGTGACTTCTGACTGTCTTCCACAGATTGTGTAGGGTACCTATTGTTCCCTTCTTTTGTTAGAACGAGAAAATTGATAGTTTTTAGGACATCCAAACAAGGATGCTTCCTGGTTCAAAGTACTGAAATGTAGTCTAGAACAAAAAAAAAAAAAAAAAGAAAAAAAAAGAAAAAAATCCCATACCACAAATTCAAAAATCATTTTTTGCAAGTGAAGCTCTATAATCAAATCATGGCTTTATGCACTTCTCTAATACAATGAAAAGTAAAATAACAAGACCAGCTGGGTAACTTCTTAAATGCATTTTAAAGGTATTTTGCCAGTCTGAGTTACTTCTGAGTTTACGTTTCAAGCCTTGGTCTACCTGTGTAGGGAGGTACTAAAGGCTAAAGCCTGGGCATGCCCTCTTCTGTGTGGACTTTCTTTCCAAAAATTGTGCACAACAGACCTAATATTGCTTGAGGATTATTGAAAATATCCAATACCCTTCATGTAAGAACAGCTGCACCTCCAGCACTGTTTTGGATCAAAGCAAAAGAACATTACTTTGATGACAGTCTTCCAGTTGTTCCTATTTTTTTGCACTTTGGTTCAGGTCTTGGAGCACAGGAAAGGCTTTTCTCATCTATAAAACTGAAACAAATACAGTATACTTCCAGCACTAATAGGCTTTTTTGCCTGTAAGAATAGATTAGACCTGGTCCAAAGCGAGACCCCTGACATGCTCAGTGTGTGGATTCTGGGCCAACAAAGCCAACTGTTTTCCTCTGCAGATAAGCTCCATGTGGGGTAGACCACACATAGTGTGTGCCTAGCTTGTCTCAGTAGGATCACATCCAAAGATAGTGACACGTTCAGGAGATGATCTGCTCAGGTAAGAGGGGTGTTGGTGTAAAGGGCATTCATGGGCATGTCTAAGTAAAGTACCTCTTCAGTACCTCAGGCATATATCAATCCAATTGCTTTGTGTTGCATTATGTGTCCTAGGTCTCTTAACAGAGATACAGTGCAAGTCAAAAAGGCTACGGAAAAATGTGAAGCAGCCCCCAGATCAGACAGTCAGTGAAGACAACGAAGGCCATGATGTGAAACAAGTAACTTCTACAACTAAAATATATAGGGTAAGAGAATTCTTGTAATAGCTCATTACTATAAGGTGATATGATTTTTGTTAAGTGCATCTAGTACAGTGAAAAAGGGTATTGAAAACCCTCTGGAGCTGCCTGTGTTGATTAAAACTCTATCTTCAACTAAGTCAAGGAAATACCTTGAGTGTAGATGTACTTCTGATATTTTTAGTCAAAACCCTGTAAAGCATCTGTAAGATCCATGCAGTATCTTTTCTGTGGTACATATATCACATACATTGAGGTGTGATATTAAAACTTGAACACACCTAGTCATTTGCTAATCATTTCCTTATTTCTGATAATTAACCACACAAACCTATGCAGTTTAAAAACATTATACACCTCTCTTCTGTACACTACAGTGACAAGAAAACCTCTTATGTCCTTAGTCTCCAAATGGTGAGAAATGGATGTACAGCTTTTGTCTAAAGCAAGCGATGCTACATCTTCACTATGACTGCATTTCATGATGGGCTTTTTTTTTTTTTTTTGCCAGTATAGGAGAAGGTAGAACTTACCCCAGAGCAGCAGAAACTTCTTGATTATATTATGGATTCATACAGTAAACAACAAATACCCCAGGAGGTGTCAAAAAAACTAGTAAGTATATTGACAAATTCATTTTTGAAACACTGATAATGAAGTTGAGGATTCCAAGGCAAAAAACATAGTCAGCACAAGTAGATGTAGTAAGTAGAGCAAACTGTGGGCTTACACTTTAAGTATGCTGAAAGTGGGGCAGAATCTTTCCCATTCAGTCAAAAATTAGACCACATCTTATGAAACTTAAATGTTAAGAAAAATCTTTCAACTGTAGGATAAGACTCTTATGATCAAATCTAATCTTTGCTGATTGGAGCTTTGTTTTTTCCATTTTCAGTGTAGGCAATGATCTGAATTTGACTTGCTGTCAAGCTTCTTTTCCTGTAAAGACATCAGTCCGGAATCTTGAAAATATTTTCTAGAGTAAAAAGACATTGTCTACTTCTTATGCTGCCTTCCAAAATACTTGGTTTTGACAACATTGGAGACAAATTACAATGTTTGGCAGAGCTCTTGCCTGGTCCAATTCAGCAGTTATTGTATTTTATGCTTCTAAATAGGAAATGTCAGTGAAAATTAACAGATTTTGTTTGGTTTGATTTTCAACAGTTGAATGAGGAATTCAGCGCTGAAGGAAATTTTCTGATTTTAACAGAAATGGCCACCAGTCATGTGCAGGTTCTTGTGGAATTCACTAAAAAACTACCAGGTACATCCAGGGTGTTGGGGAAATATTTGTTATTGCAATGCTTACATGCCTTTCTGCTGCCTTTTGGAAAGATTTGCATATGTTTTAAAGACTATTTAAAAATGCCTGATCCTTCTACACAGATCCTTCTATCTGTTTAGATATTGTATAAAGTAAAGGTGCTTTGTGGTCAGAAGAATAGTAGACTGAACAATCCAAACTCTGCTACTCCAAGATGTGGCACCCTTTAGCTATTGACAGAGAAAATGCTCAGAGAAAGGATTGCGTCTGTAGAGAGATTTTATTTTTATATATTGCTGCAGTGCCAAATAGTCTGCCTCTAAATTACCACTAACACTTGCTAGACTGTACTTGACTCCCTTTGCTGCTTTTCTAGCTATGCTTCTAGGTTATAACACCCACTGAATTGTGAGTCCCACACAAGAACTTTCTGTAGCTGGTGGCACCAATATTTATGGTCCTTGCCTAGTGTGTTATGGACAAGTACTGAAAATCTGAGTTTATTAGCATTTTTTTAACTCTCAAGTTCATGTTGCCTCAAGACTGAACACTGGGCATATGGTAGAGGTCCCTTTAACTAAGGAAGGTGCATTGTAACACTGAAAGCAGCATGGCAGTGGGAAAGGAGTGTAGAGAGCTCTGGTGGAAACACAACAGATGATGTTATGGAGCAACATCAGGTTAGATAAAATTCTCACTATTTGTTATGCCCCACTACCCTTTGCTGATCCTCTAAAATACCATGAACACTGAAATACATGTGTAATCCTCATAAAATCTGGGGAGGTTCAAATTAGTGTCATGTGCTGAAGTCCAGCTTTGAATGTCTGCAGCAATTAGCAAGCCTACTGACACCAGCATCGAGGTTATGCAGATGTGTGGCACCTCACATGCAGGAATTGCAGGACAGAAAGAAGTGGGAGCTGTTTCTGCTGCTGTCTGATTTGTCCGTAATGTGTCCTCAGGCTTCCAAACCCTTGATCATGAAGACCAGATTGCTTTGCTGAAGGGCTCAGCAGTAGAAGCCATGTTCCTCCGCTCAGCTGAGATCTTCAGCAGGAAACTTCCCTCGGGACACACTGTCCTTCTAGAAGAGAGAATTCGCAATAGTGGTAGGTACCTTGTTCAATGAGGCAAAACCAAACCACACCATTCCACTTCTGTGTCAGTATTTGGCCCTTGGGAAGCTGGTAAGATTGTTTAGTAGCATTGAGACAGATTTATCTGAATGTTCTTTACATTAACTAGAACAAATCTAACTGAGCCTCAAGTCTAAAGTTCATAAGGTAAAGGATTCTTTACATGTACCTTGCAAATTTATGAATAATGCTACATCAAATAAACCTAGTGCATGTCTCCAGTGATAAGAATGAAAGAATGATGAAGAAGAGCTACTACCATTTCAAATTGTTCACATAAAGTATTGGTAATTATGCTTTCAAAGACAATCCCCATAAGCAGAAAAGAAAAAAATATTTTAGGATGTTACTGAAGATGACTGAAGACAAGCACCTATTCTTAGTGTTGTTCTGGTAAAACTGAATCACACTGAACAAGGTCCATAGAAGAATTATAAATACAGCAGGTTTTGAGTATGTTTTTTTCTTCTTAAAGTCCATTGAAAGCTCAGTGACTCTGATAAGTTCACTGGTTCTAGACATAAATCGTAATAATTTTGAAAAGCCAAATGGGGCTAGATATTGTTTGTTCCTTATAGCAGAAGTTGTGTTGTACATTACTATGTATTCTTTGTGCTCCACCAATACAATACTGAATGTTTGCCTTTTTTGGTATTGACCAGCAAGCTTTATCCAACCCTCAGATACCTATCAGTGAATATTCAAAGGGATCAACAATTCTGAATGAGAGAGTCAGTCTATAGACTCTGCCTTCTGACTTTCCTTTTTAAGGATCAGAAGGAGAAGAGACAGAAGAACATGTAACCTTAATATTGGTCATGAGAATGGGCTTGAACTCAGTTCAGAAACTACTACTGATGTAGGCAAAATTAAGCCAATATTTACATAGTTGATCCACTGAAAAGGTTCAGAAAACTTGAGAATAATTCACTAGCTGAACATATGTATTTATTTTGGCTTGGCACACTCATGTATAACTAGTAGTTTTTTCTATTTCTTTCATTTTCATTGATTATAAGAGGGTACTATTTGATGGACTGGAAACAGTGATTTCCAGAGTGATATGAACAACTTCTGGTCCAGGCTCTGCAGGCAGAGAAGTATGCCAAGAAGGCCAGATATGTTTCCTGGAAACTGTAATGAGTTGTCACAGATCCAAATGTCTTCATTAAGAGATTTTTTTACTGGATTATAACCCAAATTTTTGATAAAAATAGGTTTTGGAGAAATGAATCCATATGGCAACATGATTACTGAAAACTTCTCTAATCTGTACAATGAGTAGAAAGCTTCTTTGTTCCAGGTATCAACTATTCATTTAAAAAAAAAGCAAAAAACCAAACCCAAAAGCAAGAAATACTTTAATCCAGAACATTGCATAAGCCCTTATATCATACCAATAATTTTCCTTAGTCATAATGTAAAAATATTCTGTTCATTTTCTGCAGCTATGGAATCCAGATGAGATGCAATATTATGTTTTACAAGTTTGTGCTTGACTTCATGATAATACAACTGGCTGGAATACTACATTGTATCCTGCCTCAGTATTATTTACCTCTTATGTTGCAGATTTTAAAAAAACACATTTTGTATAGAACAATTTAGAAGAAATTTGTGTAGAAATTTCAAGACAAGTAACAAATGTGGTATGTTTCCTGCAATTCTTTTTTTTTTTTTTTTCTGTGGGGAAAGCTCCAGGGTAAATTAAAAGCAAACTCTTAGAACAAAAACCTGGGCTGAATAGTTCCCAAGAAATGAAACACAATAACTTTTTAAACCTGTATGCATGTATAAATACAAACGTGTAACTTCTTGCTCTTGGAAGAAGCTTTCTAAAATATCTTTCCTCAAGCCAGGATCAAGAGGAAATTCTGATGTTAGAACTTCCCCTCCATGTATTACAAAAGGATAATGTATTATCCAGCTTACTGCTTCTGACTGCATTTTTTCCTTCTATTAATAGCCAGAATAAAAGAACTCATATATTTTATTTCTTTACTTAGTGCAAATTCAAACCTACTTTAAAAGATTTTCCTTTGCTGCATTTAATGGGGCTGTGACAATAAAAAAAGCAGCTTGTAAATCTTTGCATTTCTAGTTTAATTACTGCTACTGGACCTATTTAACTTTTAAATAAACTAAACTTTGAAATAGTTTTAAAGTATCTACTATAGAAATAGCTTATTTTTGCAGTTTAAATACTCATTATTTTCATGTGTCAAAGTTTAGACAAAATGATAGAAAGGCATCCAAATTCTTCTGTTATCATTGTTTACAGATACAACTTTCAATAATATTTCAATAATCTGTAATATAAATTATAGTAAAATAAAATATTACAAGTATTCAATATTAAAAATATTAAATATTATGCAGTTCACACCCCTGAATGCCATAGAACTCAACACCAGGGCTCTAGGTTTCATGGTAGCCTGTACCAAATGTGACATTAGAGTAGAAATGTAAACAATCTTTTCCAGTCTTAACCAGTAAGGACAAATGCTACTAAAAGCTGCAGCTGCCCATTATCATGTTATAGACTGGTCCAAGAGACAAGAATGGCCAGAAGAGATTAAACTCCTCTTTTTCCATATGCCTCACTGGAAAACAAACAATTAAACAGAGACAAAAAAGGCTAAATGCAGCAAACTGAAATATATGAAGACAGCAGAGAGCATCAGAAGAAATTCAGTGATGGCTGAGTGGGAGTTTGAAAATCAAGATTATAGGTAACAAATGAAAAAATAGCATCAGGATTATTTATGGCTCCTAGTGAGGTCCTAAATATTGTCATGCCAGCAGCCATAAATTATTGCTGTTAGTCAGAATTTCTGTCTGTATATTTTTAGGTACAGACTAATGTCTGAATATCAGAAGTTCTATTGTCAAGCTTTGATGCCTGTATCCATAAAATCAGGGAGGGTAGCGGTGATTCTGCCTAAAAGTCACAAGCTGTCCAGCATTCTGTCACCTGCCACCATGTCCACTTTGAAGCTGCTCTCATCTATTAATATTTATGTCTTCTCTGCTCTGCCTGTATGGAATGTTTGGGTTTTTTTTTTCCTGATAAAGAAGTCAGAGATCTGGTGGTGATGACCTTTGAGCATTATCAGCATTCATTTTCATTCTCATGCTGATGAGGCATACTTTTATTTCTCAGCTTGTGCATTTGCTCAAGTCCTGCTGCACCTCAGAGAATGCCTTTGTTTGAGCCCTGATGGTCTTTCTCTGTAAGCCATTAGGAAAATTCTTGCATTATGTGCTCCTGTGACTGAAATCCTCTCCTACACACCTTAATATTGAGACTTCATGAGAAATACAGACTTTTTAAATTTAATGTTACTGAGATTTGTTGCCATTTACTCATCTTATTTGGTGCTTCACTATGCATATACCATATGTGATTGACTCATTCTGCGAAAGGCTGACATTCTGGTAATTTAATGCTTAGTGTTTTTCTGTTATTTTGAAAGTAAATTCTCCCCATTATTGAGCAGTACACTATTTTTAAAAAACAGAGCTGAGATACAGAAATTTTTCTCTGTGAGTATTTGTAGTTTTGCTAAAGATACCAGGTTTCAGTAGTCATGAAAAGATAGAGATTTTTATTTCATCACTTTACTCTACAGAGCAGTTCTAGGAATTTGAGTATTGGGAAATAAAATACTGATATTGACAGAAAGGGAAGAATCTGGACCCAAATTTTAAGTTGGCAGCAGGAGCTCTGACATTGTGAAACACACTGTTGTCTTCCTGGATGGGTTACAGGTGCTGAAGTACACTCAGATCCAAGGGAAAAAAAGAAATAGCCGCACTTTCAAAGCACTGGCAAGAGGCCACCTCCTGCCATCGAATGTGGGATACAAAGTTCCCACTGATTTGGATAAGAGGCTCCTGCAACCAAAAGCAAAGTTTGATATTGGAGCATGGATACTGAATAACTTCCATTGCCCTTGTCTTTTATAATTTGGTTATTAGTACTGAGCAAGGGTAGTGCCTCAAACCCCCCTTGTGCTGGGGTTTGTGCAGAGGAACAAAATGATCTTCACTGACGTGTCCAAAGTGTCTAACCCTCCAAATGGTCATGTGCATCCTCGTGGAAGGAGACACATCAGCCTGTGACTCAAGGTGAAACTGGCACACTGCCCAAAACATTAAGAGATTTTGACCACTCTAAATTGCAAAATATAGGAAAGAGCTTTTCTGTCCACACACCTTTCCTGCACAATCTACCACACCGAGTCATCCGGTTCTAGGTACCTGAACCACAATTCAAGTTGCTAAAATTATTTAAATCATATCTACACAATAGATCTACACCCATGAAAGCAAAACAGATGTTAGGAACCCAATCTCTTTCCTTCTGCATAAGTGTGTTTCTTCAGGCCAAAAGCATTTTTAGACTGTGCCTATGAAGACTAGCTCAAGGCACTGCAGATGCTGCTACTGTGGGCCAGACCACATTTCTCTCTTGACTCTTGACTCAGGCCACTGCTAAAGGAGAGTATGTGGAAAGGTCATTTGCACCCTCCTTACAGGCTTGGTTTGGGGTTTTTTTGTTTGTTTGTTTGTTTGTTTGTTTTTTAACTGGTTTTTTTTTGGGGGGGTCGGGGGGTTTAAACTAAGGTTTCTTTGCTTGCAATTATGACTTAACAGAGGTCCTATAGATTGCTTTAAAGAAGAGGGGGGTTTGGTACTTGGTTGTGAGTTCTGCTCAATACATGCTAAGTCTCATTTAAGCTGGCCATTTAACCCCTACAAGACAACAGCAGACAGAAAAGAATATGCCCATGCTCTGGTGTGTCTTCTCTCCTGGCTAGATTTTCCCCTGGTTTGGCACTCAGCATCACAGGGGTGAATTTGGTCAGTGTTTAAAGCACCATTTATGCATTTGAATAGCTCAGAAGGGAGAGCTAATAAGCAGCATGAAAAACAATGCTGGTAGATGGAATAATGTGAAAGATAAAATGTAAGTTTGAGTAATTAGAATGTTTTATTTGCATAAAGCAGCTACTAATATACCCGTGGTTTCATATTCACTAATGTTTAAATGTTTATAAAGAAAAAATGATCTCTATCTATATTAATAACACAGTGTTAGTTACTGTTAATTAGCATTTACTCTCAAGCTTTCTTCTTGCAATAGATTAATTATTCAGTTTTGCAACACAGCCAAAGTAGAAGAGAGAATGCTGCCTCAAAAAGCTGGCAATACTGACCTGATATCACAGTAAATACACATATTCCAGAATTATGTTAAACAGATAATTATTCAGGGCCTGAAACTGCAAACCTTATGATATCAGGTATCAGTCATCTTACCTTTAAAGAGTAATCATAGCCACAAAACTCTAAAAAAGACAAGATCTAAAGTAATGCTGTGCCTTGAACTACAGATGGGCATGAACTTGTGCAAGTAAGGGATGTGAATGAATAATGTTAATGTGTTTAAATCTGCTCTAGTTTGATGCTGCAAAGCTGCACTCAGTACAGCTTGCATTTCCCAGTGACCACAATTGGATTTACAGCCAGACATATATGAACACAACACAACAAAATAATCAAATGATCTGCAGCATCTTCTGCAGGTGTCTGAGCTGGGTAAGGTAGGAATTTGTATAACACAGAAAGATGCCCAATGGCATGTGAAGGATAAGCATGTTCTTACTGCTGTAATGCTGCCTGAAACAAGGTTTTTGAAACCTTTTTGAAGAAAGTTAGGAAGGAGGCACTATTAGCAGTGACCAGGAAGCTCTGCCTGCCTGACAGCACTGTGCAGGGCTCTCATCTGATCTAAATATAGAAATATAGAAGGTAAGGCAGAACTACCTTTTCTGTTCTCAATGAAGCCAGAAATATAATTTCTTTTTTTTTTTTTTTACTTTTGAGCTATAACTTTGAGGTATGACTTTGGGAAAATCATGTAACTCACTTCTTCTCTAGCCTTTCCATTTACAAGCACCAAATCACCTTTAATTCTTGTTCTGATAATCTGAAGTGGCAACATCTCATACAGTAGCTAGGAAAAAAAAGTAAGAACTATAAACATCTGTTTCCTGTGTTTCCTCGTTTTTTGGTTTTTTTTTTTTTCCTTTCTGTTGGAGCTTATTAAAGCCAAACCGAAGCTTTTACAATCACATTAGAAAACAGCTCCCTCTTGTGACAGAAAAGCAATTTGTGTAACGTGCATGCCGGAAGATGAACTAATAGCAGGGAAACTTCAGCATAGGTGGGATGACAGCAAAACTACTAAGAGAAAAGATTCCATTATTCTAGTTCCAAAATTGCTCATTTTTCACGGATTTTTTTCATAATTGTCTTGTGACATATATCAGTTTAAAGATTTTGAAATTCTGTTCTCCCTTGGAAAAGTGGTAAATCCCTTGCATTGCTCAAACATACCTTTATAATTCCCTTTCATCTCTATGGTTTTATTTCTTTGTTTGCAGTACACTGATGCAGAGTTCTCTGCAGTAATTTCATTTGCTTTCACATCTATACTCATTTTTTGCTTTACCCTTCCATACTTAATGTTACCTTAGAAGCTGTCTGGGCAGGGATTGTTTCACTATATGCTTAGGCATTGTTTGGAGCAGTGAGGATGTGAATTTAGGTCCTCACTAGCTTTTCCATATCCTGCTTGCTAGCACCATTTTCATCCTACTTCTGCTATACAAACAATAGAATTTGAGGAGTTTGGGGTCACCAAAAGCAATAAATCAATCTAGCTGAAAGCTAGCCTGACCTTTGAAAGAAAAAAGAGAAAAAACCTTCAAATTATGAATATGAGAAACAAATGATGGGAGTCAGCCACAGCCCACTTCCTACCATTTCTTGTTTCCTGTCAAGATGATTATGCCCAGCAGCACAATACCTTGCACAGAGACTTCTAAAAATATCAACTTTGTCTTAGACTTTTCTCATGTTGCTGCTGAGCTACTCATTTCCATGAAAGGAATTAATTTGCTCTGCTTTAGGGCCCAGCTTTTCACTTCTTTTTTTTCTACTTTCATGCAAACTTTAAGACTTTGATGTTCCATATATATGTGCTACTTACATATATAAGGAACCTTGGCATTTCAAACCACCTGAGAGGGAGACAGGGGGTCCCCAAAAGTTAGCAATAACAAGTATTCAAAATTCTAAGCAGTTAATACTGATGACTAACAGCATAAGCCTTGCAGCACATTAGATGCTATGACTATTGTTTGCCCTGAAAGAAGGGCCAGCTGTGTTACTAACTTCTAAAGGACAAGCTGACCCACATCATATATATCCCTTTAATTGACTTAGTAGTATTGAACTCATCAAGGAAACAAGATTTGTGGCTTGTAGTCTGAAGTGAACATAGGTTGCTCGTGTCATGTGTTTAAAAACATGACTCAGCCATGAAATAAACCACACCCTACAAGATGATTCCTTCACTGTTGGGACGCATCACTATTCCACTGCTTGAAGTAAATTCACTGTCACAGCAGAATGTGACTGTTTCATAGTTGAGTCAAGTGACTTCATGTTTCCTTTCTTTAGGTTCCACATGCTGAGTTTCAGTTTGAATTGTGCCTACTGGGGGCACTCCAAACCGCACTAGTCCTGGACTTCAGCTTGTTGTTGTACGCAACACTCAAACCCACATTCATTCACATGGTTTCCAAAGGAAGTTATAAGACTTCTCCTAGAACATCTCAAAATTAAGATTAAATCTACAAGAGATCCTGTGGCCCTCACCTGTGGGAACCGAGGAGGTTCCCATCCTTTCAGCCAAGGAAGGCCAAAAGGTTCTTGCTGCAGAACCACTGGTTTGGATGTCCACACTGCTTCAGAGCTGCAAGCAGCCACTGTCAATAGTTTAGTCTCTGCTCTGAGTGACTCACATATCATTTAAAAAAGGAATAATTTTGATGTCACAGAACTTCTCTTTCACACCAAAGAGTAGGATGGAGTACATCTGTAATTCAAGGCTAACTTAGAACATTGTGACCTGATGACAAAGTCAGGCTTCTGCTGATGGTGAATCACATGATCATATTCTTAAATAGGCCTGGATTTTAGCTATTTTTGGCTCTGTATTTTATAATACATTATTTTATGCTTTAAGGTAGTAGTAGTTGCAAGCAAGTTGATCTTGGACTGCAGGTAATCCTAGACCTAATGAAAGTTTCAGGCTACATAAAAGGAGTAATTAAGTGTCTTTATGGAGAAAACTGAAGCAACTGCCCAAGGCAATTTGCTGTAGAGTTGGGCTGGAATTAAACCATACAGCCTGAGAGGTTTCCACATAACTAATGCAGAGACAGGGAACACAGGGTCTGCTTCCCAAAGAGGATTATCAACAGACAAGGAAACCACCTATGAGACCTGTCCTGAAGATCCAGATGGACAAACCTGCAGAGTGAAATGAATTGTTTGAAAAAAAGACTTTGAAACCATGCAAAAAGAAATTGCCAGTGTTTGCCTGTGTCTAGTTTGCTCTGGAAAACAAGGATGTGCTTGCACTTCTGTAACTAATTGTCTTGCATCATGATTTCTGTAGTAGATTTCTCCCACCAAGACAGTCAATATGAAATATGAAATAATTGCTGTGTAGCAATAAACCAGAATGCTTCAATAATTAAGACATACTATAACTATTTTTTCCTTCTCACAGGTATCTCAGATGAATTCATAACTCCCATGTTTAATTTTTATAAAAGCATTGGAGAGCTGAAGATGACACAGGAAGAATATGCACTGCTCACAGCCATAGTTATCCTGTCTCCAGGTAACTTCTCATCCAGAATTAAATATTAGTGGTTCTGGAAAGAAAGCATGAGGAGCAGATGTGAGATTTGTAAAAACTTACATTCTGCATGGAGTAAGTCAATGTGCATGCTCATTATGTACATTCAATTGTTAAACCAGAAAAAAAGCACAGAAATGCAAACTCCAAATGTCCTGCTACACCATTTGGTTTTGAATACAAGGAAGAAACTGCTTAAATAACGTTCTTTTAAAAATTAGGTGTATCTCTTCACTGCTTAGCAAAACAGGCTTCTTCCTTCAGAAAACCCCAAATGTGGCTTCATAAGCACATTACCCCTGACCACTGTGGAATGCTACTTATTTTAAAGGGGAATTGGGAAACCCTATAACTTAGAATAACTAAGAGTATGGCAATGGAGGTCTTCAGAATTTATCGGGAGGTTTCCAAACCAGGTTTCATGAAAGATGGGAAGGTGAAGCATTTCCATCACTCTTTGAGTCACTGTGCCTCAGGAAATTTGTTTACACCAAAAATCTGATCCTTCTCTTCTCCTCCCAATCCAAATATTCAAATACATTTCCATATGAACAAAATAAAATACAAGTATTTTCTAACAAGGAAATTTAATCTGAGGATGAAGATGTTTGATTTCCCCCTGGTGACCTGCTTTTACACTCTTCTCTTCTGGCTAAATTCCCCAGTACTACACCTCCAAGAACTTAGGGTGTTGCTCAGCTTTTGAAATGCATTTTATGACATACTCTGGTGCAGAACCAGAGTATGGAGGGATGATGACAGAACTCCAGTGAAATGTTGCAGAGTTAAAACAGTTCAGTTTTTAAGAAGGTTAAAAATTTTCTCTAGCTAGAAGTGGGAAGCTAACATGAAAACCCTAAGTTTATGCAAAAATAGAGCATTAAACATTTTTATTTCATATTAATTTGAAAATAAATATTCTTTGTAAGTATGAATATCAGTGGCCAGTGTAAATATTTGAATATTTTTATTTTAACTTTTCAGTGTAAATAATTGCAATGTATAAGGGCGTATATTTGCTAATCACTTATTTTCTTTAAAACCATAATCAGATCGACAATATATAAAGGACAGAGATTCTGTGGAAAGGCTTCAAGAACCACTGCTGGATATTCTACAAAAAGTCTGCAAACTTCACCACCCAGATAACCCTCAACACTTTGCATGCCTCCTGGGCCGTCTCACAGAATTACGGACATTTAACCATCACCACGCAGAGATGCTGATGTCATGGAGAGTGAATGATCACAAATTCACACCTCTTCTCTGTGAGATCTGGGATGTGCAGTGATGGATACTTCTTTATTTCATTTTAGGAGAAATATCTTTTTAAAGGACCACATAGCACTTATTTTCATAGAGAAGTTCCCACGGTGCATTATATTTTCTTTACTGCATTTTTATGCCATGGATTCATAAAAGTCATTTTGTCCACTATACACAGAATATTGTATAACTTTTTCTGTATTTATACCCCTTGACCAGAAAGAGCCCACCAGCTCTTCAGAGGAACCCAATTAATTCCTGCTGCAATTAAGTTGATTGCAGTAACTGTTCCTCTGTAAGGAAATGGGGAAATTTAAGTTTCCATTCATAATTTTTCATTGCAGTGTTTTTTTGTTCTTTACCTCTGACAAAGAATATATTCCAGATTGTTACAGTAATAAACCAGCTGAAATGGTTAATGTCAGTCATTTGCTGTTCAACTCTGAAATGCGTTCATGTTAAGGTACACAAGATATTATTTCTTCGCAAGATGAAAAATTATGTAATGGAGAAAAACCACATACACACAAACTCTTTTAATGATATAACATGTAACTTCAATTGCAATATTATTTTGAAGTAAAAATTATAGCGTATCTTCACTTTGTGAGAGTGTGTCACAGGTTATTTTGCTTTATGACTCAGATTGCTTGTGCTTAATAGCTCTCAGAAATACCATCGGCAGCACCCCTGGGACAGGTAAGCGTATCTGGATGCCGTGCGCGGAGGTGCGGATGCCGCCGGGGGCTGCAGGCAGGATGGGGGGGACTCTTCGTGCGGGGCTCCGCTCCCAGCGACGGGGGCAGCGCTGTGCCGAGCGCTGCGGGCAGAACGCCCGGCTCCCAGCGCCCGGGGCTGCAGGCGGGCCGTGTCCCAGCCCGAAGGCGATGTCCCAGCCCGGGGCCGTGTCCCAGCCCGGGGCCCGTGTCGCAGCTCGGAGGCGGTGTCCGAGCCCTGGGGCCGTGTCCCAGCCCGCGGCCGCTGTCCCGGGAGCGGGGCGGTGCCGCGGCTCCGGGCCAGGTGCGGCGGGCACGGCCCCGCCCCCGGCGCCGATTGGCGCTTTCGAAAGGAGCGGCCGGCGCGGCGGCGCCCGCTGCGCTGTGAGAGCACGGAACAGCACCGCCCGGCACGGCACAGGACGGCACGGCAGAGCAAAGCACGGCGCGGCGGAGCAAGGGACGGCGCGGCAGAGCGGTGGGTGTGACAGCAGCCCGCACCGGGGGGTGGCGGTGGCCGTGGCCCGGCCCCGGCCCGCGGCGGAGCTGAGGGGGCTGAGGGGCCGGGCGGGCAGCGGGGCGCTGAGGCGGAGCCCCGCTCTCCGCGGTGCCCCGAGCGCGCAGCTCCGGAGCGGCGGCGCTCGGGGGGTCCCGAGCTGCAGGGGCAGCGCTGGGAACGCGCTGAGAGTCCCGCGTGTCGGGGAGCCCCGGCAGAGCCCGGTGCTGGGCGGAGCCGCTCGCTGCCATCGGCCCGGTCACACGTCCAGCGGCAGCAGCTCATCCAGCGTCTCAGTCACGGATGTCGGAAGGGAAGTGCCTCGAAACTTACCCTGGGGAAGGGAGAGGGGAGAGTTTTTGCATAACCGCCTTCAAACCAGTATCTCCTGTGCCCTACACAAGCGTTTGAGGATGCAGTGCTGTTTCTGTAAGAAATTTGCCCCAGTGCTCTTGGCTAAAACACTCATTCATTTTGCTTAATAAGCCGAAAAGCGTCTGGCTCCTTTCTTTGCCCAAAAGCTGGCTGTGTTCCAGGGATGCTGTGTGTCACCTTTGGCATAGTACCAGATCAAGACATGGGAAAAAGTACATGTATTCCTTTGGGAGCTATAAGGCCAACTGGCCTATGCATTTGAAATTGTACCGGGTGGATCTTTCAGAATAATGCATGATTCTATATTTAAATCATAATAAACTACTCCTGACTGTGGCCAGCCAGCAGCCTGCTGAATGGGCATCGAAAAATGCTTTGCTGGAAGAAGTGTGGGTTAGAAATGGGAGGGAGAGAAGAATTTACCTGTGTATGTGAGGGAGCAGCTGGGGCAGTGTGTCTGGTGTTAACCAGCCTCTGCCCAAACTGGATGCTCCTGTGGGAAAGCAGCCGTCTGCATGTCTCCTGCGGAGATGGCAGCTGTTGAGACGAAGTGCTCCTCTCTGATTTCGAGTGGGTTTCTCTGCTCTGACAGGTGTACCCGGGCCCTTTGTTGCCATTTGGTAGGGGAGAGCGTGCTCACTGCCTCTGTTTGTGTGCATTTCATGGACAGGTGTGGAGAGGCAGTATCTGGGGAGAACAGTCAGCGTGCTTTAATGTAAGGAGTTGGTTGCCGCCTTAAAGCCCATCACCCCGGACTGACCAGTCTGGTTCTTTCTCTTTCGTGCCTCTGAGGCCTCCCCAGGGAAGCAGAGCTCCTGCTGACTCAGTAATGCAACAAAAAGGCTCTGAAATTGCTGTAGTGATGGAGAAGCACTCCGTTCAGTCTCTTGTGCCTACCCCTTTTCTTTTGCGTGTTGGTAGATGTGTCTGTAAAAAAAATCTTGACTATCCTGTAGTATGTTTCAACAGATACTGACATGACAGCTTCTTTCATTTCGGTCTGTTTATAAACATGAGTTTCAGTAGGCACTGTCAAGACTAAGCCAGTTGCTCTGGGTTAGACTGTTGTGACTACCTTTGGGTGTTGATGGAGTAGAAGATGATATTATATATCTTAAATATAGGGTGAAGATGTAAAAGCATTTCTACCCAAGTGTTTCCTTAATGAGCCTGTTAACAGAAGGCAGTTTAATGAGCCTGTGAATTCCTTTAGGTTCCACTTAAGCTAGGTCAATGGCTGCTTCATCAATGTTTTAGCTATCTGTAGAGTTGTGGATTCTGTTTGGTTGTTTGTTTACATGTAAACTGTTCAGTCAAGTAAAATGGGATTTGGACTCGGTTCATCTTGTGCTGCAGAATGTGTTGTAATTAGTGTAGCATGTCTTGCTGGTTGGGGCCCACTGAGTGATCCATACATCCTGATACAGCTGATCCTAAGCAGACTATCTCATGGAGTATCTAAAAGCATGTGTTAGCACCCTGAAGTATTTGTGTAAAGTGCTTTAGTATTTGCTGACTCTGCTGTTTCTCAGAGTGTCTGGGGGCAAAGTGCTGGGCATCTCTGTGGAGAGCAGAGGCAAACTGTGGTCTCACAAGTCTGTGTGGGTCATGTCCAGGGTGTGTCTGCACCCCCTTTCCTGAGGAATGCCTGTCCCTATGCCACGTGTCAATAGATAGGGATGTTTTTCTCATCTCTCTTACCTGGTGTTGATCCATAGCTCTAGTCCTTCACTGGAGGTTTGGCACTCAACCAGCTGAAAGCAATTCTTGCCTCTCCTAGTATATAATTTGTGGCTGACCACCTGTCTCCCAGTAAATCAGTGTCTCTCTATTGATCCAGCTGCAAGGTGTGGCTTGGTGATACCTCCTCTCCTTCCATCCCACAGAGCCATTGGCAGCAGAAACACCAGCAAAAAAGAGGGGTTTTCTGAAGGTGGGGTTGGTGGTGGGGGATCTCTATGCTTACTGAGCTTGGAACTGGGCTGGTTGCCCCCTGGTTGGGAAAAGATAACATTTCTGGCTTTTTCCTTGTCTTAAGGGGTGAAGCAGGGAGGGGAAAATGGGGAAGAAACAGCACCAGAAACAGTAGGAGGAAGGGGAAGAATTATTAAAAGAATTGTTTCTGCTGTGATGGGCTTATTCAGTCCTCCGTCCCAAGGGACCTTGAGGATATCAAGGTCTGCCTGGAAATGAGAATAGCACGGCCTGAAGCTGTGCGGGGGATGTGTTACAGTGTACTTTTATTCTGAGCTCCTTTCTTTCACAAACTTCAGTGTCTGAACACCAAATGCCTGTTGAATGAGAGTTGATAAAACTGGCATGTGTAGAAACTGATGCAGTCCTATCTGGAGCTGCCAAAATTCAGTATCAGCTACTTACTTCATTCATTATGTACAGCTTTTTGATGCAGGGAACCCAACTGGTTTTAGAAGTCAGATTTGGTTATGACTCTGCCTGGTACTGCAGTATTCACCTCACCACAGCACCTTCTGCACATTTACAGGCAGACTACTTGAAGGTGGCAGACCTGGGTCTTCTCATCCTGTGCCTCTCACAGTAAGTGATAAGGCTACATTAATCTGTATTCCCTGCAAGCTCTGAGCTGAACACTTTTGGCATCTGAAAATGGCCAATTGTTACTGTATTCCTTTTCAACTCAAAATTCATGTACTGTAGCTCTCATCATCAGAGGGGTTTTTTGTTAAGTGTTTTTCAGATGCCCTGATAATAAGTGAAGCCTTTTGGCTTACTAGGGAGCTCTGACATATGGACTTACAAAATAACTTGTTTAAGAAGAGCAGGCCCTTGGAGTTCAAGTGCCACAATTTCCCTCAATCTCCTATTTTCCTTTTTTTTGGCAAGACTAGTTTTTGTTAGGCATGCCACAAAACTGCAGATGCTGAGCATTCCTGTGATAGCTGCAGTGTGAATATTTTGCTTTGTTCATGTTTTGAGTGCTCCCTGTGAATTAGGCTGTCTTTTGTTTTCCCTTGGCAGTTAATATGCTAGAGCTCTTGTTAGCCTATATGGAACTCCTTATTTTAATGAGACCAGCTTCTCTACTGGCTGTTCTGCTGTTGTTTTATTTATTTTTTTTTAATCAATGAAGCCTCTTATTGAGCTTCTCTTAGGACAATAGCTTTCTTATGCGAAAGGAAAATGTATTCCCCTGGACAAAGCTGTGGGAAGCATAACATGCTCATTAGTAATGCTTGGTATATACCCTTCCCTTCCCTTGTTCATTCATAGAAGGAAAAATGACATCAAGGAGAGGATGTCTCTTTCTTTTTTTTTTTTTCCTTCCCTAGAAATAAAAGGAAGGGGAAAGATATCACTGGAGTGTCTCTGATAAGGTCTGAGAAGTGCTAGCAGTCCTGGTACAAGGAAGTGTCTTCACCTGAAACCAAACTGGTTGCTCATTTGCCAGTCGTAGAGGTAAGTTGTTTGAAATGCCTACTACATGTAGTAGCCTAGTTTGAAATGCCTACTACCATGTAGTCTGTGAGGTTTAAGGCAGTGGGAAGGAGCAAGGGGGAGAAAATGACACTATTCTGCTTTCTATGTAGGATGAAAGGGTGAGAATTTTTACAAGAATTGTGTTTTCTGTGATGGGCAGTTCAATATTTTGTCATAGGAAGGCCAGGTTGTGCAGGAGAGAAGATGCCATCTACTTACAAAGCCTAAATATCAGGGACAGGAGAGGAAAAATACTTAATTTTAAATGAAAACAGATGAGTTAAAAATGTCTGATAATGTCTTCAATATGGCTTTCAGTTTAATCTGTAAGATGCAATTTTATTGCAGCTATTGAGTAACAGAGCAAGTAAGTCTTTTTTAACAGGTTTCAAGACGCAGATAGGAACTTTTTGACATTGTAAAATACCACTGGAAAATGATGATGGAGAAATACCCTCTGTACACATGCATGCAGCTAACCTGGCAATGCTGCACATCTTTAGTCCTGGAGCCTCCAAGGAAGGACTTTGTAATCCTTAGCTCAGTGTAGAGCTTGTGCTGGATTTTCCCATGGTTGAAAGTATTGCTGGAAAATACAGTGTTGGCTTCAGGAGAGAAAGAGACTGGATTGTATCTAAAGTTTCCTTAATGTTCCTTTTGCCAGGGATTTGTACTGATAACTATGTTGCTGCAATAGTTTGCAGCATTCTGTTGAAAACTTAGTGCATGCGTGCTGCCTGCAAAGTCACAATTGCAACAGAGATTTATAAAAACATTGATTTCTCTCATGTGTCTATGCTAGACCTTGATGATCTTTGAGATCCCTTCCAATGCACACCATTCTATAATTCTGTAAGAGAAAATCTTATTTGTCAAAATTATTTCTTTGTTTTAAGGTTTTCATGATATTCCAAGTATTTAATGTGAACTCAGGATGCATATATCTGTCTGCACATATGTATGAGATTCACTTGTGATAACTTGGAAGGAAAAATCAGAGCCAACAGTGTTAAATTCAAGAATGGTTTCAAATATGTGCATTACTCTTTGACAAAATAAATATCATACAGTTCCTAAAAATCTTGCTGACTTTGGAGACTGTTTATGCATACAAAGTTATTTGCTACTTTTGCTGTAATAACTGCATTTTTATCTAAGGGCAGAGAACTGAATTTGACTGAGTACTGGATCAAAACTTTAGCTACTAAGATATTTCCCTCTTTCCCCTTCCCTTTCTATTAGACACATTCTTATTTTTCCAAAACAGCACTGATGGGTTTTTCCTCAGGATTTTCATGAAAGCAGGAGAGACTGCAATAAAAATCTCTTCTTTTTCCCCAGGAGAAGAAACTAATGTAAAGCAGGTGACCATGCAGAATGCAGTTCAGGTAAATGCCTTTTGAAGTGTTTAAATCCCGTATACATGTATAATACTTTTTCTTTTTAATACAAAAGTTTACCCTGAAGCAGATAAAATACTAGATTCCCCAGTTACCTCTGATTAAAAAAAAAAAAGTAGTTGTTTTCCCCTTTTACAAGAAGCAATGTGACAAGGATAATCCACTGTTATTATCAGATAGATGACCCATTCACTTCTTAGTGCTGTTAGCTAAGGTTTTGAAGTCAAAGCCTGAGATTATTGAAAAATTTCCATCATGATTAAGAAGTGCTTTTTTAGTAACCTTTTATTCTAATTAATCACTTAAGAATCACTTAAGTATAAATAAATAAATAAATGTATTTTACATACACACTGAACTGAAGGAAAATAGTTAAGAGTACCAGAAAGATTCTGGTATTATTCAGTCAAAAATTATTCAGAAAAAAATCTGGAAATTTTTCTTCAAAAATTTCAGTATGGTCCTTTTCTTGAAGTGTAAGTTACCTTTCATTTACTAGATATACAGTTCTGAAGAGAACTGCTAAGTATTTGTGTTCAAGAAATATGTTACATCCTTGCATGGAAACATTTCCTCTTCTAATGCTATAATTTTCATGATCTAAGCACAAAATGCCTCTGAAACATTTGATTAAGAAATCAGTAGTAAATTATATGATAATTTGCAGATTTCGTGACTTAAAATGTGCTGAGTTTAAAAAACCCGAAGCATTTAATGCATGTTGTCTTTATTCTATACTCAGGCAAGTATGTCATTTTAAATCCAAGGGAGTCAAGAGGAGGAATGCAGTGGTATATTGATGCAGGAGTTGCTAACAAGAGCTGAACCATTTGATTGCTCTGTTGGTTTGCTATACCTGTTGAAAGGGAAGCGAACACTCTTTGAATAATAGTTCTTCAGCCTAATTCAGAAGCACAGGTTTTTTTTTTTTTATTTGACTGCAAATATTAGAGCCTCCTGTCTTCAGCTTACTGGACTCTTGTGCAGGTGTGGTTTGGAGATGAGCTTCCCTTGAGTCCCCGAAGTCCCCTGACTCCGAGGCATGGGCCAGGTCTGGCAGACGTGTGCCTCTATGACCAATGGATATCTGTGAGGCACGAGGCCACTTTGGTGCCCATGCAGGAAGATCTCTCCATCTGGCTGTCTGGCTTGCTGGGTGAGCTTAAAAATAAATCACTCTCTCATGAATTTCAAAGCACTTCCAATGTTCTAGTCAGCACTGATGTGTAATATCTATAGTACTGTTAAGAGCTGGTGTATTTGAGTTTGAATGGCTGGGAGAATTGCATTAAAATGCATGCTTTGATTTCAGTTTTATTAGCTGCTACCTCTTAAGGGTTGCACAATTAATAATTCTAATTTATATTTATGAATCTTGTTAGTCTAATTAAAATCTAATTAATCTAATTCTATTTTTCTATTTTTCAGTCTTTAACACTGTAATGCTGTTTGATTTGCCTCTAAGTTCATATAAAATTCTTTACCTTCATGGAGTAACTTCAATATTGACCTTCTTTTTCTTAAAGGAATGGAAGTCAAAGCAGAGCAACTGCTAGAAGAACTTGATAATGGGGTACTGCTTTGCCAATTGATTGATGTTCTTCAAAACACAGTTAAAAAATGTTGTAGCACAAATAACTTAAGGGTGAGTTTTATAATGATTTTTTTAAAATACAAAGTCCTAAATCTCAAGTAGTAGTTACAGGGAAAGCAGGTGAGTGAGGCTTCCCAAAGAAGTGTTTTGTATGCTGTGTATCCAGAGACTGATTAACAGCAAAGTGGCTTTATAGATGGATAAACTCATCCAATAAATTGCTTGCTTTGTTAATCACATCCTAAGGTCTTTACTAGGTTTTTGGTTTGATTTCAGTAGCAATCTTGCCAGAGGAAGATCTAATCCAAGTCTGGAGTTTGTTCCCCTGACACCAGTGTGGGTTGTTACTGAGATATCCATTTGCACTTGGTGATATGTTTTATGCCAGAAAGTGGTGGCTGAACTCAAGTGTACAGGTCAGCCATAAAAGTATCCAGACCTGCAGGTGGGCTTCAGTGTTTCCATTGAGAGGCAGTGCTCAGTTGAAGTGTGAATCTCAAGCAAGTCTCTGTTACTTTGGAGTACAAAGGCTGCAGAACTGAGGACTGTTCGTTCAGTGACTGTTCACAATGATAAAGTAGAATGCCTTCTATATTAGTGTAGCTTTTTTCATGGAATACATACTGAGGTGAACACAAAATAGTTACAACTGTTTCTGTACTCTGAATTTAGGGTGTATTTTCCTTTGCAAATATGCTTTGAAATCTGTTGGCAATGTTGATGTGTACAATGTGCTTTTTGTTTTCTTCCCTTGCCAGAATTTTCCTATGAGAAAAGTTCCATGTAAGAAGGATGCTCCATCAGGATCTTTTTTTGCCAGAGATAATACAGCCAACTTTCTTAACTGGTGTAGAGCCATTGGAGTTGATGAGACATACCTCTTTGAATCTGAAGGCTTAGGTAGCTCTCTCTTTTTGTTAAATTTGCTTTGATCTCTGTGTGAATCACTACCTGGTCAGGGAGATGCCTTGTTACAGACTTTTGAACTTTTTCTCTTGACTCTGCATGTGTTGTGCAAGCTCTTATTTATTTTAAGGTAGTGTCCAAGTAAAAGCATTGAAAAATCAGTTCAGTGACTAATATAACTTGCATGATGCTTTTGCAAACTTCTGAAAGTTACTGTGTGGGATGAAGTGGGGACTGAGAGCTGTGCAACAAAATACTGTGTTTTTCTTCAGTAAAAAGAACCACTGAGAAACAGGAGAAAAGTGTGGTTTCACTTTCTGTGTGTGGGAAGACCACAGGGCCATGGAGTCAACTCATAATAAGATCCTTTATTTGGTATTACAGCTCATTCTTCTTACAAAAATCCCTCAGAATAATATGTTTAAGATGGTTAAATTTGGTAACGACATCAGGGCGTTGTGTCTCAAGTGGCAACAGTCTGTTGGTAATTAACGTTTACTTCAGGACACAACATTACTCTAAACCATTTGTATTTTTCTGTTTATAAGATAGTTATAAAAATAAATATTACCAACTATGAGTATCCCATAGCAGCAGCAGACCATACTGCCTCAGTGCACAACTGGTGCTGTACAGCATCTTCTAGACTGGCACGATGGAATAAAATTTTTTTGACTGCTAGTTAAGAAGATTGTACTTTCATCACATAATAAATAAGGAAATGCTCTTCTACCAGCTATTATGTCAGTAAAAATTAATTAATACAAAACTTTCTATGGCAAGCCAAATTCTGTTTTTTGTTGTTTGGCTTTTTTTTTTTTTTAGTAAGTAAAATATCTGCCTGTCAGCAGACTAGCAAAAAACTGAGAACTATCTTTGTTTTCAGTAATTCTATGAAATTGTCATAATATTTACTGTATTTTGAAGTCTTTGTTCCATTAATGCTATTAATTAGCATTAATGCTAATTAAATGCTATTTACATACTGGCTGGACTGCCCATGCATCTCTACTGGATAAGTCATCTTTTAAAACAGTTGAGAAAACTCCATCATTTGCATGTTTCATTTTGATTAACTAGTGAGTGCATCTTTTTTCAGTGCCAGGAAATACAGAGTAGAACTGAGTTACAAGAATATTTGAATTTTTTTTTTAGTTCCTTGTACTAATTATATTGCTTAAACATGTTAGTTCCTGTAAGTGGACAGGTAACTAGGACCTGTTAAGCTTCCCTGTGATAAGCAGACATGATTTCCTAGTGCTGTGGCTTTCACTCATTGCAAAGAAGTGTTTTGAAGTCTGTAACTCTTGACACAAGCTTGCTTTGTGGCATAAATATCTTTTGTGAGCCTTTTTGGCAGTTGAAATGAGCAGACTTGCAGCCTCCTAGATGAAACATTCTTTCCACTGATGTTTTTCATCAGACTTTCAAGCCATTCTTCATGAATGAAACAGGGGAAGGATAAGTTGAAAATTGTCTTTTACCCATCAGGGACATATAGCAGCACCTCCTGAAAAATGTAGATGATTGGGAAGGAATAAATCAAGAGGCTCCTGAGACAGCAGAAATAAAGAGTAGGCATTGTGGGGTGCCCTTTGACATCAAGCCAAAACAAATGTCTTGATCCTTGCTAGGGATGTATTTGGATTTTTCCCTTTTGGACTCAAGCAAATTAAAACACTTTTGTTACAGCTGGCAAATTCACACGCACACATGCACATACACTAAAAAAGAGATTGATTGGCCTCTAAAAGTAGCTTTGAGATTATGGCTTTGTCAGCTTTCTATTCTAGATTTACCCTTCATAATCAGATCTTTTAAACAGCAGACTTAGAAACTGGAGTAGATGATGTAAACATCATCAGAAAATCTGACTTCATACTTGGACTATACTTTAGGAAACACTTTTAAAACAAAGGCCTTTCAAATATCAAATTGATATCAGAGGGATGTTGGATTTCGCTTGTAAAGATAGAGCTGGAACTTTTGAAGCAGTGATAAGAAAAGATCTTACTTGTTGATTACTGAACTGGTGACAATCACCCAGATTCTTTCCCAGCAGAGGTTTAAATCCACTCAGGCTGACTGGCTGTGTAGCCATCCACTTGTGAGCTGGGGCCCTTGCAGTGTATCTTCTTGTGGATAATAACCTCCAGAGTGCATGTACCTAGCTGTGTCTGTAGGCATGAGCATGAACAGATCTGTGTATTTTCCTTTTGGTCTTTTTTAAGTGCTCTTCATCTTTAAGACTGTGATATTGCATTTGGGAGTAGGGAATGGGAAGCATTCACGTCTCTTTCTTTCCTGTTCTCATCAAGAAAGGATATTATAAAACATATTTCTCTTAGGAGGAAGAGTGGTTTCAGGAGTGCCAGGATGGGTTTAAAGATTTTTATGGAATAGAAAATTAGAGTTGTAAAGCATGTAGTGCATTGTCAATGATAATGTACCTTGCCTCTGGGTAGGATGATGGGAAATTTATAGTCATGGATACCTCATCTTCCCTTCTCTTGGCTGTACCTAATTGCATAGGCCTCCTGCAATAAATATGAACTATAACTCCTCTTTATTCTCTTCCCTTTTAGTGTTGCACAAGGATCCAAGACAAGTGTATCTTTGTCTGCTGGAAATTGGGCGCATTGTATCCGGGTAGGTGATCCACACACGCTCCCAACAAGAAAATTGAAGGACACATCCTACTGAGTAAAAGCTAAGACAAAGTTAGGATATTATTTGCAGCTGTCAAGTGATGTTAATTCTGTGCAAAAAGTAATGAGCAGCTTTTCTAGGACCATCGTACAATATGAATGTTTTTTTCAAATATTTATTGGACTCTTTCCTTGGAGAGGTGCTGTTCCATGCTGGTTTCTATAGCTGTGTGTTTCAGTTATACATTCATCCTATAGATAATGTGTACCTCTTGGAACAGCTTACTGATCATTAAATACGATTCTAAGGGTTTCAATTTTTCAGCTTTTTGGAAGGTATCTCTTTATTATCTAAATGTAGACTTAATTTATTTCTAGTGCAGAGCTGGAAGCTTTAAAATAGTCCATCTAAATTGGATGTGACCTCAACTGTATAGTTTTGGCAGTATTTTTACTGCATCCTCTGGTAACACCAAGGCTACCTTAGGAAGGGCTCCTGCTAGAAACTCAGAGACGCTCCTTCTTTTGGATTATCAAGGCAATTACTCCTCTGATTCAGATGTCCTTGTCTGTCAAGCCATTATAATTTTACAAGTTTGTTATCATTCATTTCTTTTCATTTTCTTTAATAAATTAGTAATTAAACACTCTGCTTTGGTCTTTGAGGTATGGAGTTGAACCTCCTGTACTTGTAAAACTAGAGAAGGAAATTGAGCTAGAAGAAACCCTGCTGATGGCCTCTGGGCCACCATCACCTCTTAGCACACCAAAGTCATGTTGTCACCATGGGGAGCTACACGAGGCAGTAAGTACTACTTGCTTAGTGGGATATAGGCTTTAAATTAAACTCTTAGTTTTAAACTTGTATGATCTGTCTCAGTATGGACAGGCTGGTTTTCATCTAATATGTATAAGCCTCCTCAAACAGAAGGCTATGCACCTCTTTTAATCAATTTTTTTTGTTTTGTTTTGAAAATATAACTAAAATGCTGTTCTATGTGTTTTGGAGTGCATAGAGCCTACATTGTTTTCCTTTCCCCTCTTCCTTTTCCTTGCTTCTTTGAGTATAGGGAATGATCTCATTCCATTTTTCTGGTGTCAAGTTCTATGACTGCAATGAATGTTGCTCTTCAATTTGATCTTTTCATAAAACTTCATCAGGTGTTAAAGTAGGCTTTGATGAAAGTCTTTTGAAAGAAGATTTTGAAATCAAACCTCTGTAGCTGTACCATTTGGAAATGAATATATATCCAGAAAAGGAAATTATTTGTACAGCTTGTAAACTGGTCCAGAGGAAATGATGAACAATTTTCCTATTCTGCTTAAAAATTCATTTGTTTTAAAGGTCCTCTGTGTTGTAATGTAAAAAGTCTGTTTCTTTGGGAATGTCAGCCACCAGATCCACTTTCTCTGGAAACTCACTATTTCTCCTTCTTGGCAATAGTCTCACCCTTCCAATTTGTTGCATTTCTAAGTGGCTCTTAGAGGCAGATCTTCTCTAACCCAGCATTTCTTTGGAGACTCCTTTTCCCCTTTTTTCAGTTGTTTCCTTCTTGGGTCTTCCATCTTAATAGAAGATTAACTCAATAGATGGTTAAACTTGTTCTTCTGTCAAAATACTAACAAATGCTTTCAATTTAATAACTAGGTAAAACATATAGCAGAAGATCCTCCCTGCAGTTGTTCCCATCGATTTTCAATTGAATACTTGTCAGAGGGACGTTATAGGCTGGGAGATAAAATACTCTTCATACGAGTAAGTAGTTTTTTAGAACTCCAATTTATATTTATTTTGGGGAGAGAAATGCTTTTAAGTGAAATACCTCATTTTTATGGAGTTGTTTTAGAATTACAGAATTATTTAGGTTGGGACAACTTGACATTCGATCCCTTATTCTAAATAGGTTTAATTACTCCATTCTTTAGATCTTTGATCCACAAACATTGATTTTTACAACCATGCTAAACTAAGATAATGTTTCTCTGTGGTGTCACTAAAATTTCAGTAATGACTTGCAACATAAATATGGAAAATGCCATAGAATATCCTGAGAATGTTGCTTGTTCAAAACCTAGATTCTTGGGGTTTATAATTTGAAGGGTTGTTGAGTACTCTTGTACTCATAAGAGTTTGTGTTGCAAGGACATAATCTAAATTCAGCCCATGCCCAGAACTACGCATACTAAACAAAGATTCTTACAGAATGGTTTAAAGGTCTTCTATAAAGATGTTTCCATTATTTCCTGACACAGAATTACTACCTGTGCAGGAGAAGCTATCTAATAAAATAATTGGGAAGCAAAAACCTTGTTTATCACATAATTTTATTTTGAAATGTTTTTCAAAGGAAGTGCTATTTTTAGTCAATTTCAATAGGTGGCAATGTAAGATGAAGAAAAATGAAACAAGATAAGAATTTCTCTTGTTCTTCTGCTCCTCCTCCCTCTTCCCCATTCTCAGATGCTACATGGCAAGCATGTGATGGTACGTGTTGGTGGAGGCTGGGACACTCTTCAAGGTTTTCTGCTCAAATATGATCCATGCCGAGTGCTTCAGTTTGCAACTCTGGAACAAAAAATCCTGGCATTTCAGAAAGGGGTCACCAGTGACAGTGTCCCCAGCTTGTCAGCTAGAAATCAGGAGCCTCCTCTTATGAATCCAATGTCAGCTGTCAATATGTTTCAAAAGCAGCCATCAAGACCTCCTGCTCCTGCTTTAGGTCTTGGGGCCAGTGCCAAGAAGGCTTTAGCTAAACGTCCTCAGTCCCCTGCCCTGGCATCACCCAGAGTGACCCCATCTTCCACTGTCAAGTCATCCACAGTCAGGTCCAAATTACAAGGGTCCTCAGCAACAGGTGTGCAGTCTCCTTTCAAACCATTAGCTGGCACCTCAAAGAAACTGGAGTCTCCTGCGTGCAACTCACCAGCTTCTGCTCCTTCACAGCCTGGAAGCAAAAGTTCTTCACGTGCAGGAACAAGGACAGCTCCTGCTCCCTCTGAAACATTGCGCAAACGTATTCGGTCCCCCGATGCTACCAAGGTGAAATTTGCCCTGCCTCGGGGCTCCCCAGCACCAGCACTCCATCGTGCCCCCTCACCCTCTAAAAAACAACCCTCTCTCTTGTCTGGGACAGCTGGAACAACTACTTCAAAACAAAAGTGTGTGCCTGCTAAATGCAGACCTGTATCTGTCACTAAAACCAAGGTGAATTCGGCTGCTCCCGGGGCTGCTCGGCCACCGGTTACAAATCTGCACACTGTTGCCAAGTTTGCACATTCCCAGCAACTCCTTGCAAAACCTCCTGAAAAAGATATTCAGATCTCAGGTGCTGGGTCTCAGCATCCTCTGAGAGCCCCACAAACAACTTCTCACCTGGCAAGAAACTTGAAAACTGCTTCTGAGCTAAAACTTTCCACTTCTGCACCTTCCCTTGCCGTTAGCAAAGCATCAAAGTCACCACCTCCATTGTTACCTAGAAGCAAAAATGTGTCATCAGCTGGCAGCAAGCAGCCAAATGCCAGTAATCCCCCTCAGGTTGGAGCCTCTTTATCCAAACCTGCTGAACGCACACCTTTGTCTGTCGTACGGCTTCCTCAAACTTCAGCCAAAGCAGCAGTGACCAAAAAGCCAGCACAGCCTTCCACAAAAGGTCAGCATTCAACCAAAAACTTGCAAACAAACAAAAGCTTGACCCCAGGAGCCAAGAAGCCACTTCCAAAGGAACAGGCATATAACAAAGGAACACCTGGTGCATCAAAAGTTCCTCTTACGAAGAGCAGGCAAGATGATCACTATTTTGTTATGACAGGGACTAAAAAGCCCAGAAAGTAAACTAATTCTTTACTTTCTGGGGAAGTCCCTGTCTTGTTCAAAAGGGCCTCTTGTAACTGCTACACTGAGGACAAGGAAAAAAAGCTAAATAGCACTACATTTAATATGAAATATTAGGTATAACATGCCTTTTGCTGCCTAACTTACTGTATGAACTGTGTTTATTTTGCGGTTTAGAAACTTCTATTTGGATATGTTTAGAAATAGCTTACTTGCTGTGTGGCACTGTGGAATGGCAAATATCCTTGATCTGCTGCAAAAAAGTATGGGAGAGGAAAGGGGAATTAAGGCTGATGCTTTTGCAGCAGAACTCTGGTGGTTCTGGCACATCTGCATTGAGGTGTGTGGCAAGTAACAGAGCTGTGCAAGCTGTAAAATTTCTAATACCTCAATGCAACAAGCTGTAAAATTTCTAATACCTCAAACAAAACTGTTGGTTTGCTTCACTGGTATCCCAGAACCCAGTCTGGGTCACATGTTTTAGAAAGAGAAGAATTTTCTAGTCCTGTTTAGATTTGACAGATGCTGTTATGAATGTTCATTGTGTCCCCCCCATATGCCTTAAAGTGGATTCAGCTCACTTGGAAGTGGAGCTTGGTTTGGTTTAAATTGGACACCAATAATCATGGCCTTGATTGCTCACTTTCATTGTGCCTTAGCCTCTCAAATTCAGAACAGAACTCTCCAGTGAGCAATGCTACCTTTAAAACCCCGGGCAGATAACCTTGCTTAGTCCATATTCAAATCTGACTAGCTTTCCTAGAAAGCTCTTGCTGCATGGAGGGATGTTTCTGTGTTCTAGGGAAGACACTTGCCCCTGGGCTGGAGCCCCACGCCAGCTCCTACTCCTGGGTTGGAGCCCCAAAACAGCTCCTGCTGCAGCAACACTGAGCTGCAAGCATTGACCTGTTCTAGCAGAGCTTTACTGCTCTGCAGGAGTGGCCTTTGCATGGAAGACTGAATTGCCAAATGCTTTTCTCAGTGCTATGGGTTAATTTTTGTTGGCACTCTAGTCTGCAGGGGCCTTTCTTGTTTTGTTTGTGGACACCTCTTTCCTGGCTCTCTTCTATCACTCTCTGGAGGTGAGAAATAGTTTCTCAAAGAGGAATATAGCCTGCATTTGCCTTTAAACATCTTAAAGTGCCAGAAAGCTATGCACTGTTTACACCCAGCTCCTGAAGTCTTTCAGTGAGTTAAACATCTGTGGTGCTCAACACCTTTACCCTTGGGGAGTGAGCTTCATGGTAGATTGAGAACTACTGTCTTTGGGACTAGTGCTGTTTGGGTTATTTTGGTGTTAAGGAACAGTTGTCCCTCCAGACTCTGAGGAGCTCTGAAGGTCTTTGAAGACACACTGGTGGTTTCCACAGACCATCACTTCTGCCCTTCATTCCCAGTCTATTTATGGGCAGGAGTGGATGTCACTGCCTTAAAGGCTCCTGCATAGTGGAACTGGGAAGTCTTTTTAGAAGGAGAAGAGTTCCATGGAATATATAGTTTCTGTTGTTAAGGGATTTTATTTTAGTTTTTTTTTTTTTTCTTGGAACTAGTGTAAGCAAACATCGTAAGCTGAGTTCTCTTGCGATGTGGCAGAGTCATAGAGCTGCTTTTCTGAGCACCTTGTAAGCTTATTTTATTTAATTTATGATTCTATTTATGCATATCTACTGTACAATACTGCTCACAACCTGCTGGGAGTAAGCAGTAGATGCCAGTATCCAAACTGTAGGAGGAAAAGAGATCTGTTTTGATAACATGGACACAAGTCCCACAGGATCCCATACAAAGTTGTATGTTTGGGGAAGGCCTTGGTCTTGCTTGTTTTAAATGTACGCTGGTCAAAGCCACTGCTACAGTGTTAGGCAGAGTATTGACTACAGTGGTTTCCTGTCAGGTTTGATAAATCTGGCACATGGCTTCATGTGCTGAAAGCGTTTTACAGTAGATGACTTGCTTTTTATTTTTGGGCTTCCAAATGGTGAGTTACATGTGATATGCAGATTAGCTGACTTCTTGGGGTTTTCTTTCTGTAATGGGTCTGGAAGAGATGGAGTTAACTTTCTTCATAGCATCCCCTATGGGGCTGTGTGTTAGATTAAAATCTAAGCCCATGTTGATAACGTGCTGTTGTTTGTGCTGTTGCTGAACAGCCCTTCCAGAGTCAAGTCTTTCTTTTTCCTGCTCTGCCCCCACAGTGAGTAGGCAGGAGATTGGGAGTGACATGGCTGGGAACTGGCCAACCTGAACTGGCCAAAGGGCTATTCCATATCATAAAGCATCACCTCAACAATAAAAAGAAGGAGGAGGTAGAGAAAGAAGGGCGTGCAGGTTGTGTGGCTTCTATGGTGGTTGTTTGCCAGCTGGCTGGGCATCAGTCTGTCTGTGGGAGTAGTGAAGGATTGCCTTTGCATCACTTGGTGGTTTACTTTTCATATCTTTTCTTCATTCATTAAACTCTTTATCCCAGCCAGTGAGTTTTGCTTTTGCTGCTCCACTCTCCTTATCTTGCTGGGGGTGGAGGAGAGATAAGGAGAGTGAGGGGAGTGCGCAGGTACTTGGCTTCTAAGTGGGGTCAACCCACAGCGCCTTTTAAACCATTTACAAAGTTCTTAGCATCAATTTAAACACTGAGGCTCTTGGATCATGGTGTCAGGCAACTTCTGCCTTTCTGAACTACAGAGAAAATTAAGCAAATGGCTTCGTCTTTGTCATATATAATGTCATGTAATAAACTGAATTTTAAAGTTCAAAATTGAGATAAAGATGCAGAAACTGTTACAGTTGAAACCTAAATAAGCTAATCTAAAGTTACACATGGGTAGACTTGTTTGGTTTTATTATAAAAATACTGTATTTGAGCGTGATCCATCTTCTGTGGAAATTGTTGTCGCCAGCTGCATAGTCATGTAACGTGAGGTGAGCCAAGAAAAAAGTGTAACAAAGTACCTCCTAATGGAAATGGATACTATTTTTATGACAACTGTTGCCAAATAGCAAATCTAATCTTCAGTTTATATTACCTTTTATGAGGGAAAGATAATTTGGAGGGATAATCTGACTGAATTCTCCATGTGATATCGATGTCCTCTGTATGAGTACTTATTTAAAATAAACATACACTGCACCTTTTTATGTGCACACATGTTTCTTCTCCTGACATCTTTCTGCAGGGAGGGAAAAAGAATGCATTTCAGAAGGCTCATGTTTTCCCTCTGCCACCACATAAATAGTAGATTCCATCTCTGGCATAAATAGCTGAGTCTAATCCATTGCTTTGTTTGGAGTTCAAGACATTTTTACTCTTACCCTGTTGTCAGTCTGACTAATTGTGGGGAAGGGGCATCCTCATCTAGTAATGAGCCTAAGTAGTTTCAGATATACCAAAAAGTTGTGTTTGCAGCTCTACTTGAAATATAAAGCATCTGCGTGCCATATTTTCCCTGCTTATATCTTGTCAACAAAAGATCTCTCTGTCTGTTGCCATTAATGACAGAAATTTAATTAGTTTTCTTGGGTGGAGAATTGGGTGTTCTCACTGGAACCACCTAATTAACTTTTTTCCCCCTTCCCTATTCTATTTTTTTTTTAAACTCTGTTAAAGCCTGCCTTTGTCTGCTGTTCCAAAGTGTCTTCAGTTCCTGGCAGTGTGGTGCTGGTGCCTAATCACACAGACTTACCCTTCCACTTCAGCTGTGACTAGTGAGCACGTGCAAGTGCCATCCACCATCCTTGTTCCTACAGGACCAAGCTCTGCATAGGTGTTAGTTGTGGCTGTTTTTTAAAGAGATGCTGTTAAAGCTGGCCCATAAAATGCAAAGGCAGTCCAAGATTTTCTCAGGTAAGTATTCTAACGCTTTTTTATATATCCAAACCATATCTATCTATCTACCTGGTAAATTTCAAGGCAGTTTTCCTTCTAAAACTTGAAGCACCCATAACTTTGAACATCAAACTAGGCAGCTCCTTTTCTTTTTCCCTGCAGGGAAAATGAAATCTGTTAGGTGAGTGAATTCTATGGGGTCATCTGGTGTCTGTTAATTTTCTAGAGACTACTCTGACAATGTAAACCCCTTAACTTTTCTAGAAATGCACAGACAAAATTTTTCTCTTTGATTCAAATAAAACCTTTAGCTAGCAAAATCCAGATTTGGCATGAAATAAGTAATGCAAGAGACATTTAATGCTATAAGACCCTTGCATTTCATGCACGTACATTCTTGAAAACTTCCTTTTCATTATTTTTTTAAAGCCAAAATTGAAGCTAATTCCTTAATAAAAGTTTTGAAAAATTAAATTGTCTGAAATGTAGATAAGTTCAACACTTAGTACCTTTCCGACATTTTAATAAAAAATAAAGCATTGAAATATTTGAGGGGTGAGATCTGCTCACAGTTCAGATCTAGCTAGCCAGCAATCCCCATTAACTGAGAAATGAACTTTCAGGAGTGTCACCTGGTGGGAGTGCCAGCAGTGGACAGCTTTCTACTTGGGGAGGGGTACTGATGTCTAAAGCAAAGCTATTATGGCATTTTGTGTGAAGTATTTTGTTCCAGATGGAAGAAAACCCTTACAGGATGGGAGCAGCTGGCCATTTCTCCAAAGAATGTAGCTAGGCAGAAAGTATTGACAGATTTGTTGTGCTAAGAGTTTTTAGAAGGTAAGATTGCAGCACAGAACTTTGATGTAAAATTGGCCTATAGTGCTGAGTCAGAAAGTACTGTGCAAAGCTGAGGTCCTATTAAAGAAAGCCAAACTTGCCTGCTTCCTCAAACACCCTCTTAGGATATTCACTCAGGAAAAATGGAATATATTAGTGTTTGTCAAAATACTCAGACAGGGCACTTCATAAGAACCATGTTAAAGTCAGTTACATGCATCTTTACAGTGAAAGCATATACTTTACCTCTTGCATTCTAAAATAAAAGTAATTGTTGAAATTCAGGTTGAGAATCTTGTAATTTGCTGAACTTTTATTTAAGCATTATTATTATTAACTTTTC